AAAATATTGAGTTTTTAAGTAATAATTCGCTTATTTTGTATATTGCTTCTTTAAAGATATCGCCGAGTATATACTTATTATTTCTATCGCTATAGAGTAAGTAGTGATTTTAGATATCGATAAATGAAAGATAATTCGAAAATTATATATTGTAAGACTATGTTACTAATAAGAAGGGAGTTATCTTCAACAGCTACCAAAATTAGATTCTAATATTCAATTTTGACTTTTTTTTGATTTTCTACGTCTGGCCTTGTGTTATGAACATAGGATCTGACTTTATCATCTATTCCCTCCATCGCTCGTTAGCCGCCTCTCCTTCCCTTTCCAAACCACATAACTTGAACTCCACTGCAATCCTTCCATCAACACTTTTTTTCACTCCCCGACTGGCATAGTATCTTGCAGAGTCCGATGACGTGCTTGATAAGCCTTCAAGTTGAGTGTCCTATTTCCCAAATATGTATCTCGAACCGTCGTCCATTCCACTTGATGTTTACAGCGCAATACCATCAAGATCTGATTATCCGCCCAGCTCCACGGGAGTTTCGCTGGACCCTATTTCGCAGCATTTCCCATCGAGTCCAAGTCTAGATGTACCAAACAAGTCCGAAGGGCATCGATTGATCGGTGGGGAAAGTAGTTGTGTCGAATAGTAGCCCATTCCATTCCATGTTTATAGCGCATTGCCATCAAGATCTGATCATCAGCGCAGCTCCACGGGAGTAACACTCTACCGGTGGTACCTGTACCGGGATTCACATTGTCCATCGAGTCAAGATGTATAAAACGATTCCGCACGGCATCAATGGATCGTTGTGGAAAGTAGACATCTCGAATACAATACAAACCCATATTATTTTTGCTAAACATTATCATCAAGATCTGATCGTCCGCCCAGGCCCATGGTAGCGAATCTATACGAGACCTCATATCTTCCCATTGTTCATCCGAGAAAAGTTCGCGAAACTTCGGATCCTCAAAATGTGTCCAACAAGATGAAATTGTCAAGTGTGGAAAGTGGGTTTCTTGAATAGTAGGCATTTCCATTCCCTGTGAACAAGCTGCCATCAAAGTCCGATATTCGGCAGAGGTCCATCTTCGAACCTTGATATCGGCTGCTGAATGTTCAGGGGATTCAGAGGAATCAGAAACGCGTGATTGTTCGGGTGATTTAGAGCGATTAGAAGCCGAGATAGACCGTGAACTTCGGGGAGTCGCAGGCGATTGCGACTGGTCACTCTGGAGGGAGATATTCGGAAAGACAGAGGATCTTGCACTGGTTGGCATATCCGAATGAGGACTAGGCATTGAAATCGGAGTGGCATAACCTGATGACTGATTTGAGATAGCTTTAAACTTCAACTTCATGGTGATGATTGAAAAAGAATGTTGCTTGAGGTTATGCAGTTAGGAGGGAACGAGAAGGGTAACGTAGTTGTCTAAAGCTGTTTGAAGATATGAATATTGTTTGAAGCTATTTACTCGTATTATTATACAAGGCTATTTGGAAACATGAATATGGTTGTGAAGTTGAGAGGTCAGGAAATCAAGTGCTGTGACCAGTGTCATTGCGGACTTCACCGCTCCCTCCATTCCCAGACATTGTGGTTCCCGGCTCGGAAGTTGCTTTCGATATACGAATTATACTTCGAAATGAGTACTCACACCTGCTTCTTTCCAAACAGATCATTCCAAAATTCCTTGAAACCGTATGGAGGTATCTTGGAATCATATATATAGACATTATTCGCTCCGAGCGTTTCCATGATACTGCCATGACGATGTCCAGTCTTCTCCACTACCTTCCTGGCAGGTCTAGTCGCTCTTCCCTCGATAGCTTCGGCTAATTGGGGTGCGATGTCCGCATAACATGAGTTGAGTTCACGTTCCAGTGAGAAGTAAGGCTTCTTCGCAAGATCTGGCGCCATGAGATTATACGATCTGGTTCTGCTGTTCAAATCGGCAATGGCCAATTTGAGATAAGATTGTTCGGCTTCTTCCCAGGATGGTATTCGAAATGGTGGCGGAAGTGCTGTGGACGGTAGTTCCGTGGTTGGGTGTCTACTATCCGCCTCAAGATTAGTAACCTTAGCAACACTTATCTCATCGTCTTTTGTTTCCACTAAGACTTTAACAACAGAATCTCCATTGGACGAAGAGGTTGGCACTTCTTGTACAATTTTCACCATAACTGGATCATCTGTTATATTTGTAGGAACAGAGAACTGCTCTACAGCTCGCTTTTTAGGATTATGGATAGCTTCAGATTGAGCGTATATTTCTGCCGTCCTCATTTGCTCCTGCAAAGTACCACCTCGACTTGAGATTGTTCTTGCAGCATGGCGTTTCCAGTCATTCCGTAATCGACCCCTGAAAACACTTGCAGTTTTGACAAGCTCTTGTTGTTTCTCTATCCATGGTGGCACAATATCTTGACGTTGTATCATCTTATTCATAATGTATTCGGTTGTATCAAGAAATGGATTGTCGGCTCTAGCGTCTCGCTCTATCGCTTTTCCTCTTGGGATATCCTGCGAAGGAGAAATTAGCATGATGTCATCCCCATAGATATGCACAAAGCTACACTCACTTTGAACTGGCCACGAGCAATAGCGTCTTCGATTCTCTGGTTTGCCAAAGCTGCTAGACCCCTGATTGAATCTGGCATGGCCCTCGCATCAGGTGCGAATCTTTCTTTAAGCTCCTTTCTCATTCGCTCTCTCTCTTCCTCGCTCATTTGACTATCCTTGGACATGGTATACATTGAGGTTGAATCCTTCGCATTTGCTAGCCTTTGACCAGGTCTCTGCTTCGCTTGTGTCTTCAATCTCAAATCTACAACGGGCGGCGGGATCCTTCCGGACCCTCGTAAGCCAGGACTCAGAGATTTCCTAGCATCATCCAACATTCGCAGAACCGTATCTTCAGTTGCTTCTTGCCCCGTCCATGCCTGTGCTGTGGCGACATCCCGAGAACCGCGACCTAAATTGGATGTAAGACTTGCCTCCGTGAAGGCTGAGGCATTCTCAACCCTGAACTTCGAGGCTTCTACTCTTTCGAGTAATCTTGCCTTCAAGTCTTCGGAGAAGCCTGCCTCTTCTACAGCCTTTCGTCCGGCTCGACCGCCTTCTAGGAGAGCATCTTCGCTAGCTTCGGAAAGACGCCTAGACATCGCTCCTAGTTCTTTCTTGATCGCGTTATTTTCCGCATCATTGGCAGGGGTTTGAGTTATGACCTGAGCTTCAATTGAAGCTTGATTCTCCGAGCCTGTTTCTACTCTGCTAATATCTTCTCTTCGAGGTGGCGGCGCTTGTGAAAATCGTCGAGAAACATTGTGTAAGTTTGACACGACATTTTGCTGTATCGTAGCTCGCAGACAGCGGGCACAATTAAACGGAAACTTTGATGCTAACCCGTGCATATAGAGAATAATGAAAAGAAATTGATGAGAGAGAAATTCATGGTGGGCATGAATGAGATCATGATAACATTGATTAATTGCTACCCCTGTACATTTTAGTACATTTTAGCATATCGGCGATAAGATAAGAAATCCGCGTTCCACCCACCAGCTCCCAGTGGGTTTTGTAGAAGCGAGGAACCCCCGGTGAGCTTTGTGTCAACATTCTCTAGAATCTCGAAATCGAACCGTTAATCTTGAAAATCGATTTAATTGTGAATCTACTTCCATCTCACCCACAACAACACCAACACTAACCAAACACATGAACCACCACCTCATCCATCCATCTGCTCACAACTCACAACTCACAACTCACAACTCACAACTCACAACTCACAACTCACAACTCAACTCACAATCCTCACTCAGCTCAGTTTATAAGTGCGATCCATACATACGCAACTATCTATACACATTCTTCATTCTTCATTCTCCAATCCCCATTCCCATATCCCAACCTCTCATCTCATCTCATCTTATCTCAATCCATCATCTCATCTCACTATATATGGAAATAGAGAATGCGCAGCATAATACCAAACCACCATTCCTGCCACCCATCGTGACCTCGCATAATCTCGTACTGTACAAACATCCCATCGACCCATGAATATATCATCAAACATCCACCCATCCATGCATCCTAACCCATGCCAACCATCCATCCATCCAATCGAATCTAGCCCACATAACATTACTCCTTCTTACCCTGGCCCTGCATCTCCGCGTGTTGAATATGCACCAACTCTCCATCGCCCTCTCCATCATCGGTCTCCTCCATCGGTAACCTCGTAGTTTCCTTCTGATCTTTGCTACTTCTACCCACATCCTCACTTTCCCGCATCTCCTCCACCATTCCCACATGCACAACCTCTGCATCTCCCGCCCCACCCCCCCATCGTCATCATCCTCGTCCTCTAAACTCGTCCTCCTCTTCGCTTCCCTCGTCACACTTACCCCAACCCCATCAGCGTCCTCAAAATTATCCTCAAATGCACTCCTTCCAAATCCTCTCTCCTCCTCATCACTACTTCCGTCTTCGTTCTCGTCCTCATCATCTTCACCCTCTACCTGGAAAGGATTAATCCCCTTACCCTCCCTTTCCTCCCCCTCACCTCTATCTCCATTAACTATTTTCTGTTTACTATGCAACGCCAACCTCGCCGCCAATTGTCTTCTAGCGCGACTTGGTGGGATATTGAGAGGGGGTGGGGGAGGCGGTGGTGCTGAAGGAGGTGAAAGATCCGACGTGGATGTTGTAGTTGAAGGTGTGGTTATGTAGCGGGAGAACTAATTACAGTAACATTAGCATATATTTCAGAATCAAATTTCATGTATAAATGTGATGTTCCAAAGGCGAAAGAGCTAAGCGGCGGATAAAAGCAAAATGGTCAAATAGCAAAATAAATGGCAAATTAAGATGAGAGGTAGATCATTAGCCAACCCACTGGGGAGTAAAAGTTAAAGAAAGATTTGCGGGCACCAATCATTATTAAAGCACCAGAATCGACATCACAACTGTCACCGCCACCACCACCACTTCAAAAAAGGAGTGAAGGACTATATCTCGAAAATTGAACCTCTTTTCTCTTGGTTTAAGGGAAGAGAAAACTCCCACAATACTCCTCATTTCATACCAACATTAATGTCTTCTAAATTTCTGAAGCCATAAACAACAAGCCCCAAAGATCTAAAAACGCCACTTGTAATGTTGTTTGGGGAATAAAGTGACAGAAAGTTCGTACTGTACAAGAAAAGAATAGACAACATGTGTGTTTTTGCTGATTAAGAACTACCCTGATCGAGATCCTCGTCCTTTTCTTGAGGAAACAGAGGTGACTCGCGATCGAGTTGCTCTAGATATTCATAATCGACGTCTAGGTCGTCGAATTTATCAAGATTGGGGGCGGATAGAGGAACAGAATGACCCACTTCTGCCGTTGCACCACCACTACTATTTTTCCCTTCCTCGTCGTTATCTTCATCCATTTCATCGTCTTCTTCGTCACTGGAACTTCCGAAGCCGCTCAATAATGTACCTCCAGTGATAAAGTTGTTGCCATTTACATTGTTGTTAACAAGGTCAATGCTATCAAGACCTGTTGAACCATTGAGGCCTGCATCAGCCAGGGCGGATGATGCATTTCCGAAATTATTGGCTGCATTTACTGCATTCATAACTGCTTGTCGTGAACCAACTGTCATATCTGGTCTGACCCCTCCGAGAATGGCGTTGTCCCGTTCTCGAGTTTCTGCTAGAGTGGCCTCCACGTATGGGATCCAATCGCCATTCATGACCCTCTCTAAGACGGATTCGGATAAGAGCTCTGGGGGATGTCGTTCGGTAAATTTCACAACCTCTTCGGCTATAAGGGTAAGATGACCCATATAACCCAGTCGCATCTTGTTCTTTTCTTGTGCCTCATCACTCTTCTTTTGTCCATCAACAATTCTCAATGTGATGTCTCCCGTCTCGAAGAGGTCAATCGCAAGTGATCGATTGTAACCACGATCCATAGGCCCGTTGAATACTTGTTGTACAACGTCATATACGACATTATGGAGAAAGTTATTCCAAGGAAATCGAAAGAAGAAATTCTGCATTGGTTAATTCACATACACAATATGAAGCTTGACGAAACTTACTAAAATGGTCGGTACAACCTGATGTTCAACAAATTGCATTTTGAGATAATCACCAACCACAGGAGCATCGGTAACTTCCATGGTCGGGTCTTGAGAATGTTCCTCCGTATTACCCATCAGTACAGAATTATTGCTGTCACCGGCATCACCCATGGTAGTGTCGACGCTGTCAAGAATCATGTTACCATCACCAGGGACGGCAGCTGATGTATCGGCAGTATCTTCCGTCGAGTCTGCTTTCTTTGAAAACAAAGGTGCTGGAGTATCTTCAGGAAGAGGAATCACTTCGGCAGCATGAGGAATCTCTTCTGTGGGTGCTGATGACACAGTGGGTGGTTCCAAAGCTACACTCTGGCCTTCATTGGAACCATCTGAGGAATCGGGAGTATGTTTGGGGGAACCATCAGAAGAATCTTCGGTATCATCAAGGACGCTGATGTCAATAGAAGAAGGGGGAGAGGTCATCGTCGTATCCTCATCATTAAATCCCAAAGAGCCAACTTGTTGAGAAAGTTCTTTGGTTGGTGAAAGAGGAAGTACAGCCATGTCTGGTTCTTGCAAAGTGTGCTCATCAGCAAGCGGCTGTAGCCTTGGCGAGCTTAAAGGTTCATCAACAAACTCCTCGTCATCCTTGTCGAGGAAGGAAACAGGTGGTTGTATAGAAGTAAGAAGAGTTTCTTCAGTTTCATGTTTCTCATCAAAATCGTCCTTGGCATCATCACCAAGTGCTGTTGCGTGCGTAACTTCTTCAAATCCATCATCATCGGAGGCGTTTTGAACTTCCAATTTCCTAGAACCGTCTGGAGAGCCTAGTCGTGTTTGGGTGGAGGATTTCATCGTGAGGTCATCTTCGGACATTAAGGTCGTAGGCGATGGGTTTAACTTGCCCTCAGCCTTTAATTGTTCTCTCTCTGCGTCTCGCGCCTTGACAAACTCTTCGCTGCCAACCTCGTTCAGCAGACCCATGTTGCTGCAGTGCAAAAGTTCGGCCATAAGCTCGCAAGTCTTGAATCTGTCAAATCCAAGAGGCTCGATTTTTCCGCCAAAAGCAGCACTCAGCTGTTTTCTTTGTATTGTTACTGGTCCGTCACCTCCTCCAACGGTATGATTGGGACTGAGAATAAGGTCCATAAAATCGGGGACATGTTTGGCAAACATTCGCAGGAGGGTTCCAAGATATATAGGATCTCGGCTGGATGGTACTGCATTTGCCTCAGCTCCAACCTCTGGATCATAATCTGAGTTGTTTTTTCGAATGACTTCGATCACAATGCCAACTCCAACTGTCAACGGATTTCCACCCTTCAGCATATCGGATATCAATTTTTCAATACATTGCTGCGAGACAAGCTGGCGAGTAAGCTCATTTGGTCCTATGCATGACTGCTCGTTTTGCGATGCATTGGCCGAAATAGTGATAATTGCCTTTAGGAAATCCCCCGCCGAAGTTTGTGTTGCCCAGCTGTGTTCGGAGGACAGGAACGAAAGGAGGATCGGCATCAAATCCTGCGAGTGTAGCCACTATTTCGAGAATTAGCAAATTGGGTTAAGATGAGATAAGGTGGGGGGGGGATATACATCAATAATTCCTGCTCCTCCCTCTGCCTTCTCCAAACTGATTATCTTTAAAAGAAGATCCATAATCATAGGAGAATCCACATGTTGAAGCATACTATTGACTGTACCATCAATTGATTTCAACAAAACAAGCATTTCCTCAGTCTTTTTGTCTAAAAGAGCCTCATTGACTTTTGTAAAATAACCAGCTTGTAAAGGATCCAAAGGCGCAGGAAGTTTCAAGAATTCCCAAAACTTGCGCAACATAGGTTGATTCTCCACCAAAGCCTCGCAAATTGACCAGTTGTCCGAGGACAAGACCTCAGCTGCAACGTAGGCGTATCGGGTGCGTTTTTTTTCCTTTTCTTCATCATCATCTTCAACAGCCTGGCGAGACAATGAAAATGATCGAGATTTGCCCTTCGAGTTGGGTGAAATTGATGATTCTTTCGATTCCGCTCCAGGCTCTGCTGATGCGACAGTCTCCGATTTAGGGGCCACAACATATTCCAGGAGTCTTGCTAAGATCTTGTCTTCACGTAGAAATTCGATCAACTTTGAGTTGTGTTGTTTGAGTTCTTGTATGAGATCGCTCTCATCCAATAACTCTTCTAAGCTAACATTTTCTTTGTCGAGAATACTATCGATGGGAGAGATGTTGGCATATCCGCCGAAACGCCAGAACATGATGCTTTATGTAACAGGGCTCGTCTGCCAACAAGAGAATGGTGGTAGATGGAGATATGGGTAAATTGTTTTTATGTCCGTATTTCAAGATTAAACATGCGAATCAATCGCTAAAGAGAGCCGCAGATATGATGTATTTCTCCCCACAAGAAAAAATGGCAATGTATGGAAATGTTTCGCGCCTGTAAGTCTATTCCCTTAATCTGGGGGAATTCGTATCGTATCGTATCGTATCGTGTTTCGTTTATGATTCAATGATGGGTGAATATGACTGTAAATAGAAGACGTGAGGTCAGTGATATTTATTGTATTAGAAGTGGATAATAATAATCATGTACAATTCGAAAATTGGGTAATAAAGGACTTGTGTGGCTGGCTAGTCGGTGAATGGATGCCTTTAATTGGGGGTGCGACTCTAGCAACTAACTCCCATAACCAACTTCAACAAGTCATATAGTTTTTAACAAATACAAATACAGTAATATATAGTAGAAATATAAACTTACAAAATATTTGTGTGTATTCCAATAGTAGTTGATTTATGGTACAGTAGCGGGGGTGTAGGGGGGGGGTGGAGGGAGGGTAAAATCGATGTTCTTGCTTGACGACTAAGCTACTCCAGGAGCCAGAGGACTAAAATAAGCAGGAGGTCGAAAGTCAAAAAGGTTGGCTGGTTGTTATACTGGAAGGGATTTGTACAAGGCAAAGGCAAAGGCAAGCCCAAGGAATGATTCGAGAAGCTCTTGACAGATAGAGTCAAGCAACACAACACACAATTCAAATAAAAAGGGTATCTCAAAGGTTAGAAAACAAGAAAGGTAGGTAGGTAGTTTAGAAGTATTTAACTAAGGAAGGGAGGAAGTACAAATTAAATATAGGTACCTAGTAGGTAAGTTCGATAGTGGGGTTCAAAGTTGTTTGGGTTCTTCTTTGTGGTCTTGTTTTTCTCTCTCTCTTACTCCTTGGGTTGGACCCGTGGATGTGTGGCTCAAGGCGGTGAGATTGATTACATTTTCTGCCATATTCGAGGCCTTGACCCCGCAGGTGAATACCGGTAGATAGATAACTTTCATATTGTGAATTTCTCTTTGTGTATTGATTCAGATATACACCTCCTTCAAATATATATCTCCTCTTTCTTAGATAGGCTATACTCACTTGAAGGAATGGAATTGACAGCAACTGACATGTCAGCATTGAAGATATCCTTGTTAAATTACACGTGATAATTTCATAAAGGGTAAATTAACCGAAATATACCCTATGTAAATGGCCCAGTATCTGGACCTGGACCCCTTCAAGGCTGCTTAACCATAATTCATAATTTGACAACTACCGGTATCTCTGTATAAACATCATCACATACTACAAACCTCAAATACAAGCACCCAATCATCAATCCATCAAGATGAATAGACTATTCGGCGCAAAGTCTTCAGCCCCAAAACCCACCCTCAGTTCCGCCATTTCCAATGCAAGTTTGCCCTTCCCTCTTCTATCATTCACGCCCTGCTACACTACACCTGTTTGCTCTCAACTTTCTCCATGAACCCTCATATACTAACCTCACCCCTCAGGTCGACGAACGCATCTCCACCCTCGACGTAAAGCTCGCCTCGATAAACGCCGAATTAACCTCCTACCAAACGAAGCTCTCCAAAATGCGCGACGGCCCCGGCAAAACCGCCATCAAGCAAAAAGCGCTCAAAGTCCTGCAACGCCGCAAAATGTACGAAGGACAACGCGACCAACTGCAACAACAATCCTACAACATGGAATCCGCCGCCATGATGCAAGACAACCTCCAAAATGTCATGACCACCGTCTCGACGCTCAAAACCACCAATGCCGCTCTGAAGAAACAATATGGGAAAATCGACATCGATAAGATTGAGAGGATGCAGGATGAGATGGCGGATTTGATGGAGGTGGGCAATGAGATTCAGGAGAGTATTAGTCGGAGTTATGATTTGCCTGAGGAGGTGGATGAGGCGGAACTTGATGCGGAATTGGAGGCGCTGGGGGAGGAAGCGGAGTTTGAGGGGTTGGGCGGGATGGCGGAGGGGACGCCAAGTTTTATGGTGGATGAGGTGCCCAGTTTTATCGATGAGCCGCCGCAGAAGGTGGGTGAGGTGAAGGAGGCTGCTACATGAGGGGTGGTGGACATTTGGTTGGAGGAAAGGAAATGGATGTGGTTTGGGTTTATATTGCTGGGATTTTGGGCATGGGAAGCATACGTACTGAAGGCCTTCCCCCTTCTGTATGGTATGGTGATTGTGGAGGCTTGTTAGTGGCCTATACAAAGGTATAATGATGATTACGACGGCGTTTGGAAGGAATGTTTGCGGTTTACACCATGGGTATTGGAGCGATCATTAGGTTATACTCGATACAGGAAAGGCACTGTTCAACCAAGACTCTACATCGCATATATGCATCCATGCCCTTGCTTTCCCTAAATCGTCAAGATGCGCCCTAAAATGCCAACAAATGCCTCCCACTGGTATATCCAACGCCATTTCTCAAATGCCATGCACCCAATCCCAAAACTCCTTATGATGCACCACTGATAAAATCCACACTCATCGTCTTTCCACCCCTCCATTCTCTACCCAAAACCACCTCTATCGGCCATTGAGTCCATTGCTCGCATCCCGGTCCCAACACGTCCAGAGTAGTTTTTAACAGATTCTTCCCCTTCCCACTCATGAATGATAAATGTGAAACACGGTGAATGCACACACAATAATACGCCACGAGCAACAATGCTTCTTTAACTTTCCTACCCATCATCGCCTCCACCTCATCGGATATCGCCGAAAGCCAACTCATCACCACGCTCAGAGGTGAGGGAGCATTGGGCGCTCTCAACAGCCCAAATATTCTTTTCAGTATATGGAGCGCGCGATCTAATGCCTGTCGCTGCTCGAGAGGAATATCGCATGAAGAGGTGCTGGACCATGCGCTTGATAACGAGGTAAGGTGGAGATCGTCGATGGGGTCGAGTGGGAGGATGCTGCAGTCTTCTGAGAAGCCAGCCCATGGGTCAAATAAGACTTTGAATGGTCCACGGCTTAGATCTTCCCATGCATCTTTCAATACGAGGTTGGAACCTTGGAATAGTCGTACCCATTGGGAATGGGGGAATATGCTTTCATCATCGGAACAATCGGGGCCAAAGAAGAGGTGGTTGGGAAGATTCGAGTCCTGTGATGTCCAGGCAAATGTAAACATGAGGGTGGTAAAGGCGAAGCAAGCATGGCAATTCCCGGCATCGACGCTGGATATGGCCGATTGAAAGTGCTGGAGAGCGGTGATCAAGTGCGTGGTCGATGCTTCGTGATAGTAAGCGGCTTTAAGGGGCCGGGTTTGTGATAATTGTAAGGCGGCGAGAGCAAGTATCTCATGCATGAGGAAGGGAAACTTGAAAGCTAATTCCACGACCGTAGTTCGATATAGTTCTTGGGCACTGGCAAAGTCGATGAAATCGGAAGCTCCATACATGGTGTAGTAATGAAGGAGTTCCATATCAAGCATTGAAAATGAATGATATGATGGAGACGGAGATGAAGATAGAGTAGGTGAGATGACGGCCGGTCCAAGGCTCGACTCAACCATTGGAGATACATTTTCAGATGCGGGTGATCTCGACTCTGAGTCCTGCCGCATCATAGTACTAGACTGAATTTCGTGACTATGAAGACTCTTCATTGGATGTGTATGCAAATAAGAGCATTCTGATCCGTAACTTCGACATTTTTGACATGATGGTTTCATCTCGTCACACTTTTTTCCATGATTGTCAGCTTAAGACTGAGCTTGGGAGATGAAAACAAAAAAATGCGTGGTAAAATTGAGTGTAACGCGGAACAGTGAGTTACATTGAGAACTTTGCGTCTGCCAGAGAGGTTTTAATGCCAGAGATTAGGATACCGGTATTCCATTGGGTGCGGTCATCATACATGGAGTCCTGCAGTAAGGAGGAACGAATTCCCCTTCTCGGTTGGAAGCAACAAGAGAATACGTACGTACCTTGACCTTTCTTGACTTGCATTGAAGACATCCAGTTCTACTCTTATGATGCGGTCTCCTTGGACGGATAACATCCATCATGCCCCAGCAAAGTCTTGAAGAGTTGTGATTGAAACACAGAAACAAAAAGAACCCGAATCGAATAGAATAGAGATATACTATTCGAATACAGATGCAGAGCCTTTTTTTCCCAGTACCAAATATGAGTTACTATTTAAAGCGTCGCATTGGTAGATAAAATACGAGAAAGACGAGAAGGCCAGAGGAAGGGAATAGAGTTGTGTGTTGACGCGAATCTAATAATAAAAATGAATTTATGGATGGATATGGATGAAGCAAGCCAACACGAGCCACATATAAACCTTGTCAATTACAGAGTACCGATAATTGTTATGTACTTTGTATAAGTAACAATTGAGTTATATAGTACTACCGAGATGATTATTTAATTGGCTATATCAAATACGAGGCTGAATAAGCACTGAATAAGCAAATGATTTTCTTTTTCCTTGTTGCTTACAAGTCACGCCACAGTGGCGGCTGTGTGAGAATCAGCCTCAGTTGGTGGGCGGTACACGGATTGGAAACAGCGAGTCCGTGGTTTCACAATGTCATGCTCTATTCTATTCACGAATCCGTCGGAGGGAGTCTAGTGTCTCTCTGAATCCCGCACTTCGTAGGTTGAAGAAGCGCAATATTTACGCCATCTCTAATACTAAAAATATTAACAAGTCATTATTATTTTGATTAAATTACTCAATATACCCTCTACATACCTCCCATGATATCTACTCGATCTCTGGCTCCCATTCATATCATATTGATTCTCATTTCTTTATTAGCTACTATACATACCCTTTATTATGCCGCCGCAGCTCATGGAGCCCCTTAACCTGGAGGATGGGCTTCAGACGATTTTGATTAGTGTCAGTAGAGTATCTTTCTTTTCACAAGTGAATGAATGGACTCATAAACAAATGCTAGTATGAGATAAACGAGAATCTAGATATGGCATCGGGCAAGTGTTCCGAAGCTATCGAATGTTGGAGATTTGGATTGTTATGATTGCAGAGATTGACACTCGATTGTGCTCCATTGCATTTAGTATCAAGTGACTATCATCTAGGCCACGAATTTATTTTATTTCGTGGACGATGAATATGAATATGGAAGATTGTTTATGAGATGTGGATTTCTTACCTTTACTAGTGTCATTACAGAATGTAAAATCCGAATATGTATTGGAAGGGGCAAGATTGGAGATAATGCGCGAATATCCCCCCGTATCAATCCGCAGGTTATTACCCGCTGAGAGTTCTGCGCGTAAGAATATCAAGTTTTTGGGCGGGTATGGTAGTTCACTGATGTCTAATGCACCATTTCAACTCAGATATCTTTACTGCAAATGTTTGAGATTGGCACGGATGATTCATAGCTCAAGGTACCAAGGGGATGGATAATAGACTTCGTATGTATACATATGGAAGACCCGTTGTGCCAGGGGTTTAGTGCTCTTGCGAAATTTCGTTACTTTGTTCAGGTAGAACATCCTTTTAGATCCCCTTATTCATTTACAGCGATGGATACAAATGAGAATCCTTCCCTCATTGTCTTTACTTACAATTGAGGAAGGATTAACAGCACTATACCGCTAGGTCCTACATATTGATGTGCCGTTTCGCCAATTCGCTTGATCCTTAGGGACATTATGTTGGAAGGAAAAACGAAGAGGCATTCGCTTGAAGTATTTGACGTTTGGTTTTTTGGTTTTTGTTGAGGTGAGTAGTTCTTGCTTGTCCTGATGCGAGTGAATTTATCATTGAAAAGGAACGTCTACTGGTGAGATATATGTTTATTGGGCCTTTACTCGAATTTGGTTGGGACGGTTGAGTGAGGGATGAAGGATGTTATGCGGTAATATTGGCGCCGATTATGAATAAGTAAGCGCATAACCAACATATAGTCGATCAATGAGGTGACCTACGATACGTCCAGCGCTTAGCTGTAGAACTTACTATCAACAATTAATTATCAGTCGCGACATTACATTCGGCATACAATTGTTTAAACCGATGAATGAGTATATAATGGCCGTTCTATGGTCGAAGGACGAATGGCTGATATGGGCCGAGGTGGCTGATGTAGTAGTATACTAAATTACTGTTGGATTTCGATATAGTTCTAGAGATGGGTTATGCTAGCGCTCAGTATGAACGGTTTGATTTCGTTGGTAAGGAAAGCATATATTGGCTTCATTTACGTCCACTGGAGTTTTTCTTTCTTTACCTTCCAGGCTTAAAGGTCGAAGCGATATCTTATATCAGCAACTCCTTTTTCTTGTAGTCTGGTTGCTACTTTTCTTTACTTTGCTTCTCTTTCTCTTCATTTTTTCTTGCGGGACTGGAGTTTATATACATACTTGAATATCCCACATCACCAAAGATGCACACCCCAGTTCCATATCTCTCTTACCTCACTCTCACCCTCACCCTTTCACTCTTCCACTCAACAACCCTCGCACACCTCTCGATCCATCCATCTCAAAACCCCCTCACCACCCCCATCGAAAACCCCATCCCATCCCAAGAAAAATGCCTATCCTATTCCGCCACATTCCTCAGTCCATATACCGAAGGCGCACTCGAACCCCATGCCGTAGCCCAACTACCCGGTTTCTGTGAGGGTTTGGGTGAAAAGGTCGCTTTGCATCCGAGTGTGGTGGATGGATGGGGATGGGTCATGGATTTTAGCGCCGGGTGTGGGTGTGATGGGAAGGGTGGGGATGGGGACGAGAGGTTTTGGGTGTATTTTCCTGTTGAGGTTGTTGAGGTTGTTGGTGGGGAAGAGGGGAAGGGAGAGGGAAAGGACATGGGAAAAGAAAAGGATAATCCATCCTCATTGCATGCGGTCGAGAAAGCTCAAAAGAAGAAATGCCACGATAAGAAAAGGGGAAAACAAATAGAGAAAGAAATGGAAATGGAATGGGAAGTGGAAATTACAGAACCATGGATCCTACACGCAGAAGGATGTGAAAATAATAGAGGAGATCCGGAGATAAATGCGGGATTGGGAACGTGTGAGGAGGGCGTTCAACGAATGTGGAAGATGGGGGTAGAGAGGGAGGATTGGAGGGAGTTGAGGGGGGATGGGGGTATGGTTTGGGTGGTGCAGGGGTGGGATTTATGTAGGGAGTTGAAGGAGAGGCTGGGGAGTGTGGAGGGTTGATAGAGGAAGATTATGATGATCGGACGGGAAGGGGAAGGGGAAGGGGAAAGGAAAGGGTCAGGGAAGGTAAGGGAAGGGGAAGGGGAAGGGGAAGAGAGAAGAGATTGCGGCTTTTAAGCTTTGAAATGGGTGGATGATTGATGAGTATTTCGAATATTACAGTAGATGGCTGAACTTACATATAAATATAAATATATACATACACATACACATACATATTATTCATTCCTTCTATAATCCATTATCCATCTTCCATCTTCCATCCTTCTTTCCATTCCTTTCCAACACGACACAACACAACACAACACCAGTCATAATCACATCGTATAATATCACATAATATCATAAAATCATCCCAACCGATAAACACCACCCGCATCCACAACCGCAACCTTCGTAATTTCAACAGGTGAGTGGGTCGGTGGGTAGTACTCGTACTCTACTCGCATATCAAGTGAATAGTAAATAGTGAATATCGTATAAATTCTATATCTATAAATATAAGACAGATATAGATATAATTACCGAGTATAGTATAATACAGTACGAGTATTATTAATCCCATTACTATACTCAGTATTCGAGTCAAGCGAATAATTATAAATAGGATTTTGTATTATTAATGTAGGTATCGTATTCTTAATTCTTCTAAAACTTGAATCGGATTTCATCAAATCAAATCAAATCAAATCAAATCAAGAAACTAACCGTGACATAAATATGCGTTTCATAAATCATATACTAATTAGTAGTACTATAGTCAGTATACTATCTAACCAACCACAGATATAGATATACGACTCATATACTTAGTATAATAAAATAAGTACTCCTCCTCTCATAACGAATCATAGTAGATATAGTATAATAGTTCTCTATTTACCTACCTACCGGTAATTAATCAATCAATCCTATCTACTCGAGTATTTCTATTCCTATTCCTAATCCTAACTCTATTTTCTATTTTCCTAATCTTATCCCCATCCCCATCCCCATCCCCAAATAAAAAAGCGCCAGCCCATAAATTAAAATTAAACCCCCCCCCTCCCCTCCTCCCCCTTCCCTACAGAAGTAAAGTAAAGTAATAGAATATAACCTTACCTTACCTTACCTCACCTTACCTCACCTTACCTTACCGGTACCATACAGTACTATACTACAGTACTACCAAAAAAATCCCAATCCAAATCCCAATCCCATACTCGAGTACGTACTCACTCGAACTAGTTTTATCGAATCATATACGAGTACTGACTGGTATCTAGTCGAATCCATACATACAGTATATAGTAATTTACTAACCCCATAGCATAGCATAGCATAGTACTCATTAGTCTGATATTTTAATAATTTTCTTCTTCTTATCCTACTACCTATCTCATTATTTCCCCATTAATATTATAATATACTATATATTCATATTTTTATTCATCTCTCGAAAATCCCTCTCCTCTCCCCTCTCCTACATTTTTCTATATATCATCTAATCATACCCTTCCCCCTCCTCTTTTCCTCTCCCCTCCCCTTCTCTACTCTATCTACTCCATCTACTCCATCCGCCCCTCCCTCCATCAACCATCAACCAAACCATCTACCCCGCACAAACCCCCTCCCTACCTACCTACTCGTACTACTTACATAAATCTTACAAATCTTACATAACCCCACAATCACATCCCACATCCCATCCATCCGTTTATCCCTCCCAACTCCGAGTCATACATCATACATATTTATAAATGGCTGGGTCACCCTCTCATATATCTATAATTCCGCTGGTTTGTTTTCTTTGTTCAAATCATATAATTCCCTTATCATTATCGGAAGAGAAACATTTCAATTTGAACCATGTTAGTTTCACATCACAAATGATTTAAGATTCAACGTCAACGAGTAAGTTGGTGGTCATATCATTAGCATTTACCATACCCCCCCTCCATCCCATCCATCCATCCATCCATCCATCCATATAGCTCCAATACTCCAAATACACGTTTGTGTCCTCGTCTATCCACGTACGATATGTATGTGTGTATGAACATTCTCATCCCCATGCCACTACCACTACCACCACATCTCCTCCCCTCGAACCATCTATGCACAGCAAGAGAAATCGAGAATCGGACCGATTTTTCCATCGTCCTGCACTCCCTCCCAAATACCTAGAGACGTTGATTGATAAAGAAAAAACAGAAATGTTTTCACCATGAAACATATGGTGTATACACATCATTTCGCTATGTCATATGCAGTATGTCGCAGCGGGGAAAACGAAATGCTAAAAAGAGAAATTTTGGTGCTTTATGCTTATTTCACCCTGCGCTAGGAAAGAAATAAGGAAATACGAGAATAACTGCTCCGCGAACGCCCAAAAATGTTGATGTGGTGGTGGACCAACATCGAAGATATTGTATGTACAAGGCGATGTGATGTGAGATTGGGTGGGCGATCGATCGATTGTTGAAAGACCAAGAGATATTTAGAGGTTTCTGCTGCGAGGTATCTATGTAGAGGATGTATTGCAGGTCGAAGATGCATCGGTAGAAGATGTGTTGCAGTCTGACATGGACTTCTATCACGACTAGGTACTATCAGTATCAAACAAGGCATCGATCGAGCAGAAGTTGGAACATACCTTTTACACCAATCCATACATCAATTCATCCCACCTAGCTGGGAATAGCAGTATTCGTGCTCTGCGAATTCTTCCAGACCCCTCCACCAACCGCTCTCGAAATACCAACTCCAACACCAACGGCAAGAGCGACGACAATCAAGGCAATCAAGACCTTGATCCAAATTCTGGTCTTTCGGTCGAAACTGGCCATGCAACCGCAGATACCTGCACTAATCCGGTCTTGTTTCATAGCCTTCTTCTTCCTCTTCATTTGTTGTTGACCTGGCCATACCGTACATTCCTGCGTTGCGCCCGTCTTGGCCTTGGACAACAATCCGCTCTTGGTGGTTTGTTGTGGTGTGAGGCAAGCTTCAACATCGGTATCGTACAAGGGAATATTGTTCTTCGATGCGGTCTTCTGTGCTTCGAGCGAATATCGTGTAGGGTTGGGGTTGTAGAATGGAGAGAGTGGAGAGGTTTCCTGGGATATATTACTTTTCTCATAGCGGGTTTGAGTTGGGCTTAGGGAATGGGTGGAGTCGACATCTTCAATGGTGCTGAGAACGGATTGGTTGGATTGTGCGCGGGATGGGGTAGGTCGATTGATGGTCAGGACATTTGTGCCGACAAGAGTCGATTTCTCATCAACGGGAGAGGACATGGTGAAATTGAATTGATGTCCTTTCTCTTGGTGTGAGACGATCTTGTTTGTTCGAAAGATTTGTATATCGATGTCCAAACAGAGGAATGGTCGTTGTGGTTGATGTGAAGGTTTTCTTTAGATAGGCAGGTCCTTAGAAGCTCTCTATCCGTGATTGCGTACTCTTTTCGAAACAAGGTAAGAACGAGAAGAGTTTATATTTTTTGTATAATCTTCGGAATGATGTTTTAATAACAAGGTCGACAAGTAAATAATTAATTCTCGAATACAATCAGTGACAATTGATGAAAGATTGGAATTCTTTTTTTTTAAAAAAGGTTGCAATTGATGAAAGATTGGAATTCTTTTTTTTAAAAAGGTTGGTTGCGAGATGAATGATCTGATTCAGTGGATGAATGATGATTTGAATGAATGAATGGGTTGAAATTTAGGCTTGTGATTCCTTTTCGGGTGTTGTTGCTCACAATCTACTTACTACCTGTAGCAATTGTGTGGTTGTAGTTGTAGTAACAAACAATTTAAGGATCGGATGATATTATTCTGTATAATGATCGATTGGTTCTTAATGAAAAAGAGAGAAGAGAAAGATAGAGTAGTAAACAGATAGGAAGGGGATGGATAGATAGGATTAGATACGATGCAATACGATAGGTAGGTACTAGGCGAATGTGGTTCGGTCACTGGTGTATATAACTAGGTACTGTTGAGGAAAAGATAACAGTACGATATTAGCATAAACATAAACATGAGCACGACTTCTTCTCTTCACAGCCTACTACTAACTAGTAAGTTACACTTGGACCCGCCTGCCCACAAACCGCACGCACTTTTTATAGATTACTTTTACCCCTGATGGATCCTGGTGTTGGGTAACTTGGTATTGATGGCTGTGTGCGCGGACACTTACTATATAATGAAAAGCTGTATTCATATTATTGCCAGAAAGTTTGCAACTCGGGAACTAAAAAAGCTAGGTTAACTCCCTTGTAGTTTGTTATTATACTTTCTGGCGGCATGAAGTAGTTTGGAATTGGATAAGAATTGCATTGGGGAATTATAGTGGATTGTGGAATATATCGATAGGATGATCTTCATCTTTTGATTATATATTTTGAGTAGAGTGAATGAAGTAAGGTAGGTAGGGTATTACAGAGTACGAGTATATGCGAACTGCATGTATATCGAACGTTTATTTCGTCACAAACTCTTTCTTGTACAATAAAAGTAGAAGGGGGTTTTCCTATCATATCCTTATCCTATCCTATCCTATCCTATGTGTACGACATACCTAGTATGCACACTTCGTATATACTGTACATTTTTTTTAAGGTTATCCGGTGCGCCTCAATGTTACATGTAAACAGCAAGCTTCCGGGACAAGATATTGATTCGGTGGAACTCCCGATGCATGCAAGTAGGTAGGTACCTAGGTATTACAGATAGAGAAAACTCTTGGAATAGAAAGGATGCATGATCTATTAGAGAGAGAGAGAGAGAGAGAGAGAGAGAGATATTCTTCAGGGCCCTTTTCTTTCTCTTGTTTATATTTTGACTTTCTTAATTGTATATATTCGAGAACGGTAGGTACTCTATAGAGTCTATTGCAGACAGGAGTGAGTGTCATCGTTGTTCTTCGCATTGGGTGAGTACCTAGTAGTCATCTAATCATCTACTAGATATTCATAACACCTACTCATGATATGGCTATAGCTATGTATACGAGCGAGTAGAAACGAGTTCGATGAGGGGACAACCGATAAAATATATGGACCCGAGTTGATACAATAATTGCTATAGCATTTTTGAAATATGCTCAAGTATTAATATTCTATAGCCCAATTCAATTCCCCCTTCTTTCCTCTTTCTTATTCTAAAACCCTAATAAAATCTCTTTCTCTTTTTCTTTCTCTTTCTCTTTCTCTTTCTCTTTCTATAACAAATGAAATACAATCCATCCATACAATTTCCCATAACAGCACTAGACCCATACCCCAAACTACCTAACCTTTTCTAAGCCTCAAACCAACGTCGAGTAACTCCCTCAATCATACCGTACTCGATCTCTCTGTATATACATTTCCTCAATCGCATTTAAGCTTTAGGGAAATCTATCATGTATCATCTAATCAGATTATACACATCACACACATCAACAATCACTAAAAAGTATACAAAATAACACCGATATCTTCGCTTCTCTACCACACACCTACTCGTAGATAAATTTCATCAATCCGCGGGGTTACTTTCTAAATAAATGCAATGGTGCTGCTGCTGCTGATAGACTAGACTCTATACCACATGCACCTAGTCATGCATCTCATTATGCATACAAGGTTTAATTATCCTCTCCTTTCCCCCTATCCGCTATCTATCTTGCTATCTCGCTATCGCTATCTCAATCAAGCAAACTAACACATAGCACGAACCGTTTTTCCTGTGTTACAGTACTAGAAGAGTAGAATAGAGTATCCCATTAGCACTCGTATATCAATCTAACAACAACCTCGTGAATATACTCGAGTATTGTTTTTGTTCAATTGTCAATTACTTGTACTGAGTATAAGAAAAACACCCTTTTGTATCGAGATGATACAGTATCTCTCTATCTTTTAGACTGCCACGTTACTCGAGTACGAGTACATTCCCAACAGTGTTCCTGGTGTTCGCCAGACAGTAGTTCTAGTTATAGTTATAGTTCTAATTCTAATTCTGATTGTAGGTTCTGCATTTGAGATGTTGGGATATGGGGATCGGGAAATACCCAGAAAGGAAGGGAAGGGGAGAGAATAGGGGGGTACAGGTACAAGTATAGACAGACGAGACAGTAAGTATGTAGTACAAAAAGGGCGCAGGGCTTGGTTTGTGTGGTGATGAATGGATGTGGATGTGGAGGTAGGTGTGTTTGATTTTATTGGCATTGATAATGTTGGGATTGTAGAAGTGGTAGGTGGGTAGATGGAGGTATTAGCTATAGATGACAGTGGTATTGTGTGGATGGATTTACTCGAGTAGAGTACTGATATTTTCATTTCTCTCTTTCTTTATATCTGTAACTATAAGTACTCGAGTATTATCTCTTGCCAAGGGCTATAGATTGTTGAAAATACTCGAGTAGTACATATGATATGGTACACAGATGGTACAAATGGTGAAAGAGTTTTTTCCCTGCTGCCGGTTTTCGAGATGAAGAGAAAAGCTGCTTTACAAACAAAACTTCTCATAGTCGCTTCATTATTCCCTTTTATCATTAATCGATATTTAATAGATCTCAGTATATTGATTTGATATAAATACATTGTTTCTTGTACCAACAACGGAATATTTGAATATTGTTAATTCGCATATCTCCGTCTATAATCATTGTTATTTCATTTTCAGAAAGGTTTTGCAAATTACATTACTCGAGTAGAGTTCATATATCTGCTTATATTGCAATATTCGAACTTGATTATTGTTTAAATCGAAGAAAAGAGGTTTATAAGCAAAACTTCTCATGATCGCTTTCTTATTATTATTATTACTATTACTCGAGTAGTCGATAGTTAACGATTCTTAATATCTTAGTATGATAGAGAGAAGTTTCATCGTTTGATGTATCAAAAGTGGAACGGTCCAATATATCGAGTACACAAACGTCTATTCATCTACTGTGTATGATTTTGCTATATCACTTGTGGAAAGGTTTTGCAAGCCGGTGTTCATACATCTGCTTGTATCACAGCACTCGAAATCAATGATTCTTGAACTGTAGAGGAAAACTTTTAGAAAAGAAACTCCGCATTGTTGCTTTCTTACATTTTTCAGATAATGTTTCATATATCAATAGTGGACTAGTCCAATATATACAGACCTTCCTCGTATGTTGTTTTTATATCACTTGCAGGAAAGTTTTGCAAACCGGACTTCACATATCTGCTTGCGAATCTAATCAATGGAATAATCCTTCTCAAGTGGTTCGCAATCAATTGCTATACGCCTAAATCACTCACCATGCTTCAAGTCAGCCAATGCATGTCAATCGATGTTGAGTATATCTTAACCAAGTCAATCAAGAATCGATTACATCTAATCTTGCAAAATATGAATGAGTGTTTCATAGGTTTCAACAGACTATTCCAATAATACAGTATTACATTACAATTTCACAAATACCTCCAACTCATCAGATTCTCCTCAATCTCGTCAACCCTTCTTCAATACCCTCACTTCTCCCTATCCCCCTCACGAACTTGCAAATCCCTTTCCCCCCAACCAATCCAACCAAACTCCATACGCTGTCGTTGCATTATAATGCAAATTAATGCCATGCCCAGTATTCGGTTGAATATACGACCCAAAATCACTAGGACTAACATTTGGGAAATTTTTTGCCACCATCGCCGCCAAAGAATCCGCAACTCCTCCCGTAGCAAGACAGTCCGATCCACAATATGGCAAATCCGAGTCACCATCAATCACCATAACGGGCCCCGCGAAATTGTTTATCGCGGTTAATGAACCTAATGTTAAGAGTTCTCCTTGTGTTACTGTCTGCTTGGTTTCTTCGGAATAGGTAAGGATCGAAGGATCATAGAACTTCGGCTTCAAAAATAAATATTTATTCGCCGCCGCATCAGACGAAACCAAATAGCCCGCAGGCACCGGATTCGAGCCCTGCAGCGATAATGTTCCATTCGAGGATACATTTGCAGATACATGTGCAGATGTATATGCAGTTACATTCGCAGCTCCGTTAAACGAGCTCAGATTAGCGAATCTCGCCGGTTGATTCTCCTGCGCTTGTTGAAAGTTTCCGCCCGCGGCAAAATAGGGCACAAAGGAACTATTCATGCTGAAACCGGTAAGCACGATACCGTCGGTGAGATTCGGATGCAAATTTGCGAGCGCATATGTTTGCGCGCTGCCGAAGGAATGCCCAATGTGAACCACGCGTTTATAGGCTTTTCCGGGGGCCGATGGAAAAGTGCCGTTACGGAGCATGGTGGTAAGGGCGGCAGTGGCGGCGACTTGGATGTAGGATTGGATTTCGTTGAGGGGGTTGCCGTGTGTGGAGTTGCCGGTGCCGAGTCGGTCGAAGGAGAGTGTGTGGTAGGAGTATTTGCGTACGGCAACGTCGATGTATGAGTAGTTGTAATTGTTGTAGGGGAGGTCCCAGTAGGTTTTGTCGAAGCCGATGCCGTGGGTTAAGACCTGTGGGGTGGGTTAGTTTCATGGTTGGAAATGTTGATTATGATATAAGATGAGATGTAGCGATCATGAGAGCTGAGATTAATTCTCCGCCTCTCAGAATTTACGGGGGTAAAAAGGGAATATACCTGTATAGTCGGATTGGTCGAATTATCCCCATCCGGTTTACAATACATGGTACTGATATTATAAGTACCAGCCGTGGTCTGATATCCCGACAACGCTATATCCGTGAAGTTTCTTCCCTGCTGTGTGACGTTTAGGAAGAAATCCGGCGTCGAAACATTGGTCGTGGGTATCTCGATGTTGAATACTGCTTGTCGGGCAGAAATGGTAACTGGAACAGTGGCATTGATGCATGTTTTGGCTGTAGCTGCCGCTACGAAGAGCGATTGGGCTCCGATGAGTGGTGTATAGGTTTTCATTATGAGGAATGGTTAGAATGATAGCTTGCGGTTGTAGGAGAGAATATGTGTAAAGATATGGAAATATATAGGTATAACGTGTGGGAAGATCATAGGTATAATGAGTGCTGTATAAGCTGTATACATACTATTTGCATGATGCAAAGCTTAGCTTAGCTTAGCTGTAAGTAGCTCCTCATCAGGAAAGCTCCATCGATATGACAAATATCAAGCAAGCTCCATCCATTTCCCCATCTCATCGCAGCTTCCAAATCCACTCCCTTCCCTTCCACCCACAAAATCGATCGACAAAGTGATGTCAGGTCTCTCACCCACAAAACCAACAAGACCGACCCACCCACCATCCCTGTGCCGATTTCCAATCACTACCTCAAAGTTTCCAGCTTCAAACTAGCACTCCCTACCAACAGCACCTAGACCTCACCAACCCAGACAGAAACATGTCCCATTCGTCCAATCATCCAGAATCAACACTGGTAAATACGATGTACACGTCCCGGTACTCACGGAATGTAACCAGTGCAGGGTTATCAATGTAGATCACAACCCACAAGTTCTTGGAACTGCGGCGGTACCTGGGTTGCCGGTATTGATGTATGTGTGTATGCATGTTTTAGGTGTACCGGTATGTATGTGTTAGCGTTAGCACTGTTAGGTGTATGTATTTGGAATCAGGCGCTAGAAATGCTAAATACGCGCTAGCCGCATTGCCGTGAGCTATACTATACTAATAGAATAGAATCTAGTTGCCCGAGCGCTACTGTAATTCGGAATTCGGATGAGATGATTGGGTTTGTATGGGTTACTGTACGTCATTTGGGTTGGCAGTGTTTTTGGATTTGGGCTTGGATTTGTATTTGAAAGCAAGAGTCTGGATTTTTGTTCTTCTGGAATTTGTTTTTTCGGGGGATTTTCGACCTGGAGAGCAAGATTTATCGAAACTAGAAGTCAGGAGTTCGTGATGAATACTTTGGTCGATATTGAAGATTCTGGTCAAGGTGATGGATTGTTCCGGGGAATTGGAGAGGAAGTGAAGTGGAAGTGTAATAATTGCCCACTCCCCACTCAAGAAGAGTACCGGTAGTGGAACCCCTAAGGGAATATCAAATACTGATACAATAGTATTGTTCGTGCGCGAGATCTCTGAAGTGCGAGTGCACAAGCATCGCAGTCATGGAAATCTGTAATACGATTTCGGAGATGCAAAGGAATTTTGTTGAAATTCAATGCACCATTCGGATGATCCAAGTCTTGACTGTCACATTATTGAGGTAGACTGATATAGTACGGGTTTAAAATCTGGGGTATAGGTATAGCATATTGTCTCAATTTCTTGATCATTTGTAATATAGTGACTAGGATAGAACGACAATCACCGCGAGAATGGCCATGCCCCGAGATGCAATTTTGCTCTTCGTCCAAGCGAAAGAAGCTCTTTGCGATGACGATGGTATTTTCATGGAGGTCAAGCTGGCTCGTCTCTCACACGTATCTTGTAAAGGCCTTGCACTTGGTACAGGTAGAAATAGAACTTACCTTAGACAATGCGAGGTATATACGAAGTGAAGCAAGTATGCTGCATCTCTATCACAAATCTGCATCTACACATTCTCACTTATTACATGCCATTGGAAACATGCTCTTCGAAGGGAAAGAACATGGAAGTATTATGGTTACGAAAGGATTTCTCATTTGCTACAGCCAAAGTTACTAAACTAAAGTGACCTACTCCTCCCCTTCCTTAGACGAATAATATTTATGCCTCTGTTGTGATCCACACTGTTCAGAAGTCTTCTGTGAGATTTGGCAATATCGAAGAGTCAAATCTCCAACTTCTCCAGATCCATGGTCGCTTGTCTGGCTGGAATACCCGAAGGACTTGCTCTTGGGGTCAATGGCTCCAGGTCTTCAACTTTGGTTAACAAGTAGCAAGATGCATACATATTAACACTATTCATCGTGTTAGCAGACATTCGACAATATCAGACACTCGAACACTAACCGATCAATACAAGCCCCTCCAGTTCTCGCGCCCACCCTCTTTGTCATGAAACCTAATCTCTCAAACGTGGCAATATACCACGGCCTCAATGCCGCACTCCTCAACAATACTCTTCCTCCCATCTTCAACGCCCTGTTCAACTTCCTAATTTGCATTTCCGCGGCCTCAGCTCCCGGATCAAACCAATCCATGCTATCCATAACCACCGCAATAGTCAGTGTGCCAGGCGCAATTCTTTGTATCACTTCATCAATCTCATCGGTATGGATTCTCAACCCATCAAAAGCATCATGACGACTAAGTTTCTGATGCGATTTTGGACGCAAATAGTCGGGGTGACATTTCTGGGTATAAGAACCCTGGAGACAAACGAGATAATAAGGATTATCTTCACCGATCAACGAAGTCTCAATAACTGGATCAAGAGTCTGAATCATATAATCCCACACGGCACGCCCCTTACTATTTTTCAATTCCCTCGCCGAATGTTGCAGCGGTGAAGAATCTCGCGCCACAGATTCAGAAGCGATATGATCTGCCTCCAGCATATGGAGTTGGTTTTTGGGAACCCCAAGCGCTTTCCAGAGAAACGTTTCTTGAGATACAATGAGGTAGGAAAAGAGTCTACTCATGATTATGGGACGAATCTTCGTTTGCCAGGTTTCCCGTTGTTCGTTAAGGGTTTTGGAGGTGAGTAATGCCTTGATCTCGGAACTGAAACCGAGGATTTGGGATAGGAGACGAATGACGCGAATGGCGTGGCGGGAACCTCCGGTCTCATAGAGACCGCGAGAACTGGTGGTGAAAACGTGGGTATTGTTTATCCAGTATTGAAATGCCCTTGAAGACATATGAGGCGAGAGGCGTGTTAGGAGTAGTTCGCGAAAATGGGGATGTTTTCCCAGACCAAACAGTTTCCAGAAATCGGAATAGGGGAGGACGGTAAAGGAAGCAACTTTTAGTTCGAGGAGATGGTTTTGATTGGGGTTGAGATCGATGGCGTGGATTCGACGAGGGGATTTAAGGGCGTAGGAGAGGATATTGTCGCCTGCGCTTGTTATTGCTAAAATAACGTCATCGCGTGTGATATTGAGAAGACGTTCGTCCACGCGAGTGTCTTCCCATGTGAAGGCGTAGATGTACTCTTGTTTGAATTGGGTATGTTTCTTGAGTTGATCGTCGTAGTGGATTCGCCAGTGATGGTTTTGGTAGAAAAAGGAGGGGAGTGGTAGATTTGCCGAGAGATTTATGATGGCCGCTTCGAATGCTTTAGATCGGATCTCCGGCGGTGTTGATCTATCCACCGTGCGGGATAGTGTGTTTGTATGGTTGATTGGTGATAAGTATGGCGATTCTGTTGCAGCTGCATCAAGGCGCTCCACGATTTCATGGGGATAATTTGGAGCTGCGAGTGAAGATGCAGGTTTTTTTTGACATCCAAGCCACATGTAGTAAGGAATAGAACCTAAAAGGTAGTTTCTCGAGTCCGCGCTGAGGACAGTTCCGAATCGATATTCGAGGTAGTCTCTACGACCAGCCTCTAGATTCACACGATCGACATCGAACCAGGCGCGCCAGAAAAGCCGTCCCAACCAATTTACATGTCGGTTTATCACGCCGCCTGTGTAGTTTCTACAGCTGAGATCCACGATGGATTGGACGTAGAAATCTACAACACCAATTGTACCTGAAGGAGCGAGTAAATTTGCCAGAGAATCGATGACAGAATAAAAGTCAGGCTATGTTTTATTAGCAATTGGAACATTTTAATATCCATGTGAGCAATGAACACTCACGATCATGGATAAACTGTAGGACAAAGTAATAAGATCTGCACCGCCAATAGCGTCCGAGTCCGAGAAATAATTCGAAGTGGGCGACGGCGAGAAGCCAACAGCTCCAATATCTATATCTTCGTGATCTTCAAGACGAAAGGTGCGAGCGTCCTGACATACGACCTTGACATTAGTCCAGCCAAGACGCTTGAATCTCTTTTGTGCAACATCACAAAGACTTGGAGAAAAGTCAACGAGGTAAACGCTGGAGAAAAACTCTGGGACCGAGACATATTCAGACATGGCCTCGATATTCCATCCGGTGCCACCACCAATCTACTCGATCTTGTTAGCAATTTAAAGATTCAAATGGTGCGTGAACATCGAAAAGTGGTATTTTCGACATGTTATTCGCAACAAGAAAAGACTTACATCAACCCAAATGCGTTTCGTATCATGAGTACGTTCCCTACTCGCCTTATTAACCAACTGTGCCGCCACCAGTGCGAGCATATCCTCTCTTCCCCTCAGCAAACTCTTCCTCGTCGCATCATAAACCCCCGCCTGTGCTTTATAGAAGCTTTCCAGAGCATCCTGCTGGCCGTTTTCGGTCCCATCTCCACTATGTGGTTTGAGAAACGAAGCATAAAAGAATCTCAAGAACGATTTAAGCGTGCTTGGATTTTCGTCTTCTTTCGAATGTTCTATGTTCTTCGATGCAAATGAAGCATTTGTCGCGACGAAAATAGCTCCAATGCAGAGCAGTAATAACGCTCCTATAATAAATATTTGGGCACGAGGTTCCCTTGGGATGTTAAGGGTAAGAGAAGCCATGATACTCTCTCATTGCTTACGCAGAGATATTTGTACGTAGTTGATAGTACTCGTTAACACAGTTGAAAGGTATCAGTGACGACAAGAGAGAAAAGAAGGAAATCAGAGGAGGGGTAAAGTAGGTAATGTAGATAACGCATTGATTCTTCACAACCCATCGATACCCAGTACCCCTCATTACCAGATTAAGCAACAATGTGCTCCATTAAGTCAAGAACCCAATCAATCTGTCGAGCCACCCACATGGGCGGGTGCCAAATCGAAGTTCCTGCATAACATTGTGCAATATTGAAGGTCCCCCCACAGCAGTACGAGTATAGAGGCATCGGAGAGCCCCACTTCTCTGAGATAGTCTGCGTCTTTTATTTGAAAGAGGTAAGATTCCCGGGGATTTTCGTACTCGAATGGCTTTCAGTTTGATCGATGATCATCTGGTTGTTCAACGAGAACTCTACGAGTCGAGAAGTAACTTTAATCCTGAATCTTTATACTTGAAACAGTGATTGGAGGTAATCCATATCAAAAAACATGTGCATAAAAGCAGAGCATTGAAGGGTTGTTGAAGCCTTTGATTCTGCACTCGCATTGACCAATGATAGCTAACAAAATTCGCACGCGGAAGTTGATTGGTTATCCGTCTTAAGCGATAGAAAGTGCCTAGTCATTTAGCATAGCTTCCAAAATCTTGCCCGCATCAAGATAATGATCCAAGGGCTAACTTACTCGCGTCTGGGGAGGCTTGAGAATTGCCAGTAATATTCATTCACTTGTATCTCTCCGATATATTGACCGCATATAAGAATCTTTGGCCCTCAACGAGGCAGCTGCATTAATACGAATTCATTTTAAAGACTAGAGCTATAGCTTCACATCTAATGCTGGTCATACAACATACCATTCACAGAGATATGCAATCTTTGGTCACCAAAACTCCCGAGATAGATATTCCCAACACTTTTCCGAAACAACACGATCACAAGTACCAATATTTACTCTTCGTCCTCAAAGCCAGCCTCGGAGTCTTCGTCCTCATCTGAAGCATCCTCAGAGTCCTCTTCACCTCCCATCTCCTTTTCCTGCTCCCGTTCCAACTTTCTCTTTCTATCTTCCGCCCTTCTTCCCTCTTCCAACATCTTTGCCTTCTCCTCTCTCTGCTTTCTTTGTCCCACAACAAATGCTCCTAGTGGAGTCTTTTCCCATTCAAACCCTTTCAAGAAGCCATCCACGCCAGCTCGATCGTTGGGTGCGAACTCAACCTTGGCCCTCTTTTCCTCAATCCATTTCGAGTTTGCCTCCAACTTTTGAACGAGGAGTACGAACATAGAAGTTACTTTGTTGTTCTTGTTTCCGGTGCTCTTGTTCGAAGCATCTTTAAGCCATCGCTTTAGCATTACAACAACCGGCAATGTAAGTTCTGGAAGTGCAATGCTAGTGGACCAGAGCACAAAAAACTCGGCAAGTAATTCAGCTACCTGCTCTCCAACACCATCTTGGTAGATTCGTGTACGAAGATACGATTTTTGAGCTTTGTAATTGGATGTAAAGTCCAAGTATTTTTGTGTGCTCGGCTTCGGGGGCTTCTTCATTTCCGCGGAATTAAGCACCTCAAGCAATACAGATGCTAAAGGAATGTATGTTCCAGTGGCTCGCGAAAGACGAAGTAACGAACGGATTAAGTGGAATCGTAGAGGGAAATAAGTAGAAGTTGGAATGAGACGCATAGCTCCAAGGGTGACTTGAACAGTTGGGTATATGAGTGGTCGAAGTTGAGATTGTTTCCCTGTTTCAGCCTCCTTCAAAGAATTGCAGTGCTCGGCTAGAACAGTCGACCAGAAATCAAGAGAATGGACGTATTGCCAGTTGTAAACTTGCTTGTATGATTCCTTCTGGTTGTTTGTGATGCTGCTTCGCAAATGAATTGCCAATTGACGAATGAATGTAAATCCGGTGGTATATCCAACATCTTGATCGATTCCCCACAGTTCAGCAGCGGAGTTCTTCATAAGATTTATTCCCTGAATGGTGTGTATGGTGGTATTCCGGCTCCCTTTGAGCAAGCCTTGGTACACTGTCTTCATAACGGCTTCCCGTAGTCCAGCATCACCAATTATTGCCAAACGTCGGATGACCAAGAAGGCAGTGATTCGGGTTGCTTCTGTGCTCGAGGCATCGGACCAGATGTCCACTACGGTCTTGACGACATTTTTGAGGACCTTCTTGAACGATAATAGATATGGGAGAAGTGGTATGACAGAGGAAAGTGTGAGTTTGAGAGTAGAGGCATCGGATAGAGAAGCGAGGAGATGTTGAACAGAGGTAATGTGGGATCTTAAGAGGGGCGACAGCGTCTTGAATTTTTTCGAATCTGTTGATACTCGGACTTTTCCGGCGGCAGACTCCTTGACCGGAAGGTGGTGATTAAGTACCTCGGGAACTTGCTTCAAAGCAGTAAGCAAGAGCTCGTGGTAGACATCGGGATTCGATATCGAGTATTTGTATTCCTTTCCGTCGTCTTCATTGACGTACGCAGCTGCTCTGAAAGCTAGAACAACTTGTCGCATGGCCCGCAAAGACTTTTGCTCGGTCATTGCCTTATTCCACTTCTTCACCATAGCTTTTGTAACCTCAGAGGCATCTTCCTCTTCCGCTTCTTCTTCTTCGTCTTCTTCTTCCTTCTCCTCCTCCACTACTTCCTCGGTCTTCGCCTTCTTTGCCTTCTTCGATTTCTTTTGTTTCTTCTTCTTGGGTTGCTCCTCTTCGTCACCGCTTAATTCGTCAACTCCGGCAAAGTCTCCATCGTCGTCGAAATTCAAAGCTTCAGGGTCGTTCTCCTTTAGGTATTTGTAGAAATCCGGGTCCTTCTCAGCTAGAGCATCCATAGCACTCTTGCTCATGCCAGTTAATCCTTCCTCGTCGTCATCACCATTTTCACTGTCGCTCATTACAGGAGCCTCTCCATCTGAGTCGTCGGATGATTCATCATCTTCCTCTTCCTCTTCCTCTTCCTCTTCCTCGGGTTCAGTTCTCTTCCTCTTTCCAAGATTCTCTGCTCCCTTCTTTGCTTTCGATTTTTTCTCAAGCTTTTCTGGAACTGCAAAACCACCTTGGAAGAAGTCATCAACGCTCATCTTTCCAAATGCGTCCTCTTTCACAGCTGGTTTAGCTGAACCTTCCTCTCCGTCTTCTTTTCCTCCCAAAAATTCGGCATCCTTAGCGTTTCGGGCTGCTCGTTTTGTTTTCATTTGTTGTCGCTGCTTGAACTTTGCGCCATCTTTGCGCTTTTCCAATGTATCCTTAAGATGATTCTTCTCGAATTTACGAGTGGACTTTTTGCTACTTTTCGCCATGATGAAATTGGAGTTTTCTGTGATAAGATTATTATTGCGGAACAAATTCTGAGATTTTTTTGAGATGGAAATCTTTAGAGCGATAAGCTAGTACTGATATAGCATATCAAAGGCGGTGAGCATGGAGCTCTAACACTCTCAGTGAAGTAATTGATCTTTCATCGTTGAAAAACAAGTCATCGATTCATCAATGATACCTCGAATTCCTTTGTATACTATACCTAGGTACTCCTGGGCAGAATACGGAAACAGATCTGATACCTCCACAAAAGTTTACAGCCAAATATCATCTCGATTATTCAATTGGGTGTTTTTTGGCTACAGAATGCTACTTGTTTTCAAAAGGCGCGATTGCGACGCCTAAGCTCCCCCACCAACAACAACCTACGACCTCGGGACCATCCTAAGCTCACGGCGAAGGCATATTGATATTGATCGTACTCCCTAATCAATATGTATCAAAATAGACAGCCGGCGTATGCCCCTACACCTCATAGCTATATACCGAATACCGCATTATCTGCAACCATAAATTTGGATGAGGTAAAATCTCTCTATTTCTTCGAAAATGCTCTGGCTCATTCCATCCTCTAGGAAGTAAAGCTCGCGGAGTCTAGAGCGGAGCGCGACCTTCAAGACTCGCTCGCAGAAGTATTTAGCATCATAATCACTCTGGACCAACTCGAAAGAGCCTTTCTTAAGGATGCGATACCCGAATCGGATTATACTGAGACTTGCGATCGATTACTGAAGCAATACAAAGCTATTTTAGCAGACGAAAGTGTAGCTAGGGAATTCGTTGATTTGGAGACTTTCAAAAATGAATGGGATGTGCGTATTTTTGGGGGTTTCAATTGCAGCTACATAATAGCTAACTCGGTTTATTTACAGATAGAGGTTCCCAGGGCCACGGAAAGACTTCGCATAGGATTGCCCAGCACCTTTACGGCGCCCTCACATAATGCATCTACCGCCAACAACAATGGTACTAACGGCACTTTAATTCTAGAAGCGACGCAAGATTTCATAACATTTTTGGATGCGCTTAAGTTGGGATTGCTGGCGAAGGATCAACTACATCCGCTGCTGTCAGACGTCATACAAAGTGTAAATAAGGTTACGGACAGGGACTTTGAGGGCAGGGGAAAGATCGTGCAGTGGCTCATTGCCTTGAATCAGATGAAGGCAACGGAGGAGGTTAGTGAGGACAAAGCTAGAGAACTGGAGTTGGATATGAATTCCGCATATCAAGGATTTAAAGCGACTCTAGCTTGAGGACTTGGGTTATTGAGGATGGCTTTGAAGTTATGCTTGGATGCTCACTGCGAAGAGATTTCTATTTCGCTTATAGGGGGCCAGCGTAGAGAGGCATTCTGGCTGTATACTAACATTTACAAGTTAACTCAACTTGATCTGAAAATTAGGAAATTGCTAACATTGGGCAACACAAATTGCAGTTGGTAGTCGGGCACCCCATTGTAATGGGGTTTATATATGTTTTTATCATCAATAGCTGGACACTGTTACATGAGTTCCATTTGATATATTATACCAGGAATGTCCAGAAACTAGGGTATACAAATTCGTCCTCAAAAATGCGTCTGACTTGCTCAAGTACAAACTTTTCTACCTTACCCACATTTTTGAGTACTTGCTTGCCATTCTCTCTTTGCCCAATTTCGCTCTCGACCTTGATCTCGTGCAAAAGAGCTCCCATTTTCATACCAACGGAACCATCTGCGTCTTTCTCATCTGCACCAATAGCAGCATATGCATCCTCAGGTGACAGAAAACAGAAATGAGCTCTCTTGCGAATGTATGCCAGAACAGCAACTCCGTCAAAAGACAGTCCTGTGATGTTCAATTTCACTGGAATACCGACGAAGCTTGGCATGGGATAGTCGAGTAAGATATCGACTGTGAGTGAGAGTCTAATGTTTCCAGAATATCGTACACGGAATACGGTTTGGAGATCTTCCACCTTGGGCTCTCGAAATCTTCGTGGTGGTGAAGTTGGCTCTTCGCTCTCGCCGATCTGCTCTTCTGGAATCGTACCTTTGGGTGCGCTGTCTCGAGTTGCCGGCCTGGTCGCTGAAGAGGAGGCAGCTAGAGTGGATACACTGGCTTTCTCGCGTAGCGATTGCTGGTTCAGATCCGCAATTTGTGGAGGAGTCATAGACCTTTCACTCCCCGTGTGAGATAAAGGTGTATGGGATTGATTACGGAGCGCGGATAGATGCAGAGATGGGCTAGGACGATCCGGCCATCCTTGAGGCAGATGTGCACCGGCAACAGCGGCTAGTGGGGTCTGAGTACCAGACAATCCACTGGCTAATTGAGAATGAAAATAGCTCAGATTTGATGTTCCACCTGGAATCCCAGGTGTATTAACACCTAAAAAGGGACTTCCGGTGTCCCCAGGAGCTTGCATTGATCTTAGGCCGGGATATCGCGTATCAATATATGCAGGAGGAGTCGATATATGCGACGAACCATTTGCCGTCCTCTCTACTCGATCCATCTTCCTTCTCTCTCTCAACGTCTTCGCGACTTCATTTTCTTCATCAGTTTGAGATTGCTCAGAGCCGTCGTCGTCTTCGTCGTCTTCTCCATTACCATCCTCGATATCTTCGTAGAAATCAGGTAACGGATCACAAATATCTTTCAGCTCAACTTCTGGAGCAATCGAACCGAACTCGAAAGTGTGGACTTTAACACCCTTGATGAAGCGGGGCAAAGTCACGGTCTGGAACTTGGCATGTACAAAGTCTCGGATCTTTTCTGCGAGTGCAATTCCGTCAGGTCCAGTGGTTAATGTCTCCCAATTCAGGTCGATAGACATTTGGAAAAGGAAATGAAGATTTCAATATGATCAGCATGTAATGTTCTCAAAGTTTGTGGATTATGTTGTAGTCGACTTTAGACAAAACTTTCTGTCGATTAAAAGGTGTACTTATTTGTTATTTGGTGTGGTGATAACTGGACATTGTTGTCCATACTGTTTGAGTATTTTGGATTTTTGTGAACGAGGATGATGGGACGGGATTACATTACCTGTAGAAGATTGTTAAAGCAGCATCCTTTAAAATTGTGGCGGCACTAGGTAATTGCTTATTTAGCTTCATTATGATAGATTCCTCTAATGAACTCCGTACCTCCGTTCATTTCTTCTTTCCGTTCCAATTTCAGTACTTTCTCAAGGTTCCTCCAACCCCGCATATTTCTCTCCTTGACCATTTATCGATATACGAGCTGATGGAGACAAATCAAGGGCAATCCCAGTCGTAACTGTAGCTCCATCATTATCTCGGTTACACACTATGTTGATTCATTGCCAAATTCCAAATCCTTCGGATACAAAGCCTTCAATCAGGATATACGAACCGCTTCGGGACCTCTACTGCAAACTCCTCACAACATGTGAATGGCGTTGCCAGAAACGCAGAACAACAAACTAGGACATAATGTTCCAGCAATGAAATCGATCAAAAAAAGACATTACATGGAAAGTAATCCCTGCCTTATTATTTGTTTGTATGCAGTTATTTTCAGCTTCTCTGTCGTGACATTTATCATGCGCGCCTGTGGCGTCTAATTATTAGTCCGCGCTACTTTCCTTGTGAAATCTTTTGGCGGCACAGGCGGATATACCCTGAGCCCCCAGGCCCATACTATACAAGGTTAACTTTACCATGCAGCATATAACCTCACTTTATCAAATCATATACAAGATTTTCGTCTAGTGCCCTTGGCCGGTTTTAAAGGCTAGGCGTCGAGCTATCGTCTGCTTACTTCGACGCATCGTGGTTTGTCCAATATGAAAAGAACATTTTGTATATGCCACGATGATGCATGTTGAAAATTGGTACCTACCTCATTTTGCATCATTTCGTTTTCTCATCACATCATATTCGTTAAGTTGTCTCCTCGTAAGTACGTGCCACTCTCCTGCTCTCGAGAGTACTACAGATTTCACAATATCACCGATAGCTAAGTCCATTCTCTACTGGTACGAGTGGTTCGGTATTTCCATTCATAGAGAATCCTCCATAAGTACGCGCTATGCCATAACACCATCACTTTCTACCCTGAAAATGGAAGAAAAGTATCGAAGGACTTCCAGCACCTTAGCTCAGGATTGTTAGATAGCGAGATCGCTGGTGTGGTTACTCTACGCACTGTCAGCACTGAAAAGGGAAATATCCGGTCCAAATGCAAGCTAGGATTAGGCTGACGCTGATAATCGCCTGATCCCGACCAGTCTTATCACATGATTGAAAAAAGCTGCATGTAAAATGCAAGGATTTCACATCCCTGGCCGTAGAAGTCAACCGCGCTTGGCTTCTCTTTGTTATCGGTGATAGCTGCGCATTGGCCGTTGCTTGCGGCAGATTAGCCGCAATACAGCTGATAAGACTATCAGTCAGTCGAAGACGGCGGGTGTCGCGCTCTTCTGTGAGGCCTGTAGTTACACAAAGAAAACCGCACGGTAAATCGTTCAACCTCTGTCGAGTATACAATACACCAAAGACTTTTGCCACAGATGTGATTAGCGGAAGTTTGGAAAAAGCAGAGCTTTACGTGAGAAGGCATGTTAAGAACGGTAAAGCATTTGAATAATGAGCTTGTTTTGGCTCATACATTCGGCACATATTTCGCAAATGGTAGTGAGCTTCACATATTGTTGAATTCAAAAGTTAGTTTCAAAGAAAGACAATTGTAATTAAGAAAAAAGTGTCGACTAAAAATCTACCACAGCAGAACGAGAACCCCCCCAAAAGTAACAACACAATGAAATATCGTCCCATAAACTCCCGATTATGCTCGTATGATTACAGCAGCGGTCCATGACCAAAATTTGTACCACAGATTTCTGACCCTGTCCTTGACTCCCCTTAGCCCCAAACCCCTTCATCTGTACGGATGCCCACAAAATATCCTGATCCACTTGACTAGCCTCGTCAGAGACGGTTGGAGGATTCCGAAGGGCCGCCCTGGAATGCGGTTCAAAGATGTGAAGGGGCGTATTCTCTGTATCTAAAATCAGTATATCACCAAGTAGGAAATCTGGATACGCACTTACTTACGAAGAACAGCCATTTGTACATGGTTCTCCGGCATTAGATGGGACAACTTGTGGCCCGGTTGGGCAAGTTCCAGTTGATTTGCAAGTAGCGCATTCAACTACTTTGGTATCAAAGTGCTTGCCGCAGCTCTTGTAGACGACGTAGTGCTTGCACATTTTGGCGGTTATTGTCCGGAAAAGTATCGGGAGCTTGTAATTGAGATGTTGACTCGATCTATTAAGTCGCACCGGGGTTAGCAATGAAATTCAATGGCAATTATAATTACTGAAGACTCTCTTCTCCTAAAGGAGATGTAAAGTACAAGTAAACTGTGGACTTACTTGGACAATGGCGAGTGTGGATGAAGTAGTGTGTTTGCTGAGGAAGTCTTAATTAATGTAAGAGGGAAAGCTGGCAGATAAATATATTGTGGATGGTAGACTGATTGTGTGGTGATGAATGAGAAGGTGATCTGTTGAACTATCAAAACATGGGCGACGGCAGCTTGCTTTATACACCGTTGTACCATTCCGAGTGAACGGTACTGCCTGTCATTCAATTTGGGAAATGTTGTTTGCTTTGCCATCCATCGCAGGACGTCAACACGAAGTCAGCCAGAGAGGGGAGGGGATGCCTGCCGACGAGCTGGTGTGCCTCCTTGTTGGTAGTTGTTTCCGTAAGAGGTTTGATGAAGTTGGAATTGGAATTGGTAGATTGAGTTGTAGCCATAGAGGTATCATATCAGGCTTTCCGTGAATACCAACAAGAAAATAGCCGTCATCCGCCGCGCAAACGGTTGGCTAGAGGATCGAGGAACACAGGAGAGTAGTGGTAAGGCAGGTATGAATTTAATCACTGACATGGTATCGGTAGGGCGCCACAGCTACAAGCGCAAGCTCACATGGTCAATCCTGGATTGCAGGTACGGCGAAAGGAGGATCGATGCGGTTGCGGACAAGTCAACCGTTCTGATTATTGAAAATTACAAAAAATGGTTGATCCACCCGAGGCAGCAAGGACCTGCAAGGTTGGTAAGAGTTGCAACTTGCAAGGACCAAATAATGGGACCTGCACCTAAACGACCCTTAACCATCTTCAGTAGTAAATGTAGATCCAGAGACTAAGAGAACTAGAGATTAGAAACTAGCGAATAATATTAAGGGACTAGGGGAATCAAACGAACAATTATGATCGGTAACATTACATACGCTTGTTTTGAGTTGGCCGATTTTAGATCCTGGCTGAATAGGTTTGTATATGAGAATAGATAGGTAGAGAAGGATAAGGAAACTATACTGTAAAATAATGGAATAGTGATCTAGTGGGATAGAATAAGATACATTGAGGGCTTTAAAGATTGCTAATTTAAGTACTTGTGTTAGGCTTAGCTAGTATTGTTTTAACGGCTTTCTGACGGTTTCCCCCTTCATTTTCGGCTGAGATTATATTCTCTCGGACACTTGATTAATTTTGTTCCTAGCGTATCTATAGTACAGTAGTACAGTAGTACAGTAGTACTTGATAATCCTTCTTTTACCTTTGGTTTCGAGTCGAGTATACATAGTAGACAAGACCAAGCCATAAACCAGCCCAAATTATAGACCACAAATAAGATTTATTTTCAGCCAAAAAACCAAAGCCACCATAAGAGTGCCATTTCTAACATGGGTCGTCGCATCAATCGAATCAAATATCGAGATTTCAAATGTTAATCTACTTTTCTTGTACCACTACACTCCAATCAAATGGTTTAGATCCGATTCGAGACTGCGGCTCACAACATATACATACTACTATGTTAAAAGGCAAGCTTAGGCGTTTTACCACCATAGATCTTTCATTTTTAGCCGCTTCGAACCTTTTATGAATCATTTTCTATGGGGGTGCCATGTGGACGTGTTAAACGGACACAGTAGAAAGAGGTCTCTGCTTTTGAGATCGTACCAAGCCCAACCTTTTTGACCAATAGAGTATAGGATTATATCACATCTTCAGAGCATTAGACTTCTCAGGCTCACATCGTTTCTGAGAACGGTACAGAAAATCTTTCGAACAGTACGCAAGTACGTAAGGCTTCTCGAAGCTTTCTCTCTCTCTTTTTTTTATGATTTTGCGACGATGGGAAACGGCAAAGGATCATCTTGCTGTAGGGCTGGCTGGTCTGGGTTTACAAATATACCGGTATCAGATGAAATCAACCAACGAAACTTAAACAAACTAATAACAAACTAACCTGCATTGTAGAAAATTCAATTGCGGGAACGCCTCGGACCTTGTTTGTCCCCTCCCATGGTCCACCGTCTACCGTCAACCGTCAACTTTGTTTGCTGATGAACTTGGACTCGGCAAATTCCCAAAAAGTTCGATATAATCTTAATCAACAATTTTTAAAATAATAATCTATTCCGGCATTCTTATTTTTTCCCCCTTACATCCCTTTTTCAATCCACAATTCTACTCAACAGCCGCAATTATGCATATTTTTCTATTCCCCTTTGGCCTGCGTATCCTAGGGTCAGTCCAACGTTCACCAACATTGACTTGCCGCGATCGTGGTTACAATTGGTCCCTCGAGGACTGATCACCAACATACTCATCAGCTCGCCGTTCGTACTCCTTCAGTTAGTACAACTCTGCCCTACAGCTGAATCATTTTACATCCGCAGGTGGCCGGACTTTTACATGCGTGATTGATTGAATTCTACGATTATTGGCAGGAACGCCACCATGCCATGCACATTCGCGGCAACGTCTCTTTCTCCTTTTCCATCTCTCATCTCAGAATTTAATGAGTATGATCACAATGCGGCATTCGTGGCTGTCGAAGGAAGACCCTGAGACTAAATTGGGTAATATTCTGGACGGGATGGTTAGGTTAGGGGCACAAGGCACGGATCGCCAGTAGGACTCGAGTCTTCTGCAGCAAAAAGATGTTGTTGATGATGATGATGATGATGATGATGATGATGATGATGATGGATTTACAGTGCTTATTGTTTCCATCGTCAACGTTTCAAGTGCTTCATCGTATTCAAGAAGGATCTCGGCTTCCTCGAAGACGGTTTTGTGTAACGATTGTATGTAGGTACGGGCCAAGATTCGGTCGATGCAAGTAAACCTACCTACAGGAATAGGAATTTATCCAATATTGTGAAGCAAATCATATTGCAGCCTTCAGTCGGTATCGGCCCGCACATCGGCCTCCCGACCTGCACCAAGGCATTACCTGACTCCATAGAGGAAGGTGTAGAGGATCCCAACGGCTTCAAACTTGACATGCGTGGTTCATCACAGCACTTTAGCCTTTCACGATACTCTGTCAAGTCAAAAGGGACCACAAGACCTTTCGTTCTGCAGGGTTCCGACGTCATGTTATTTTGACGACGGACACCCGCAGCCGTGTCCGCTGTCAGATGCGGGAAACGATTGACTAATTCTGCGAAAGGGACATACAGGATCTTGACTCGATTGAGCCTTTCGAATGCCAGATTGAACTCCCTCTTGGCTTGCTACCTACATACTGCAGTCAATGACACTTGGCTGAAATCACTTTAGACATTAGAAATGATGATCTGATCAATCGGTGCCCATCATCGATAAAGAATGTGATAGACACCGGGTAATCTTTGGAATTTCTATAAATTTATGTGTGACGTCTGTTGATTAGCGGCACAGCGAATTGGAGGCGACTAATAGACGCCGGTGGCATGATAATTGACAAACTGTACAAGGCTAACAGGGATGAATAAGGATGAAATTGAAGAAGGAGAGGGGATGATTCCTTGCCCGATATCCTTGTATCTTACCGTGCAAGCACAACCGCGTCAAGTGATTGTAGCACAAGAATTTAATCAAGGGTTTTTTGTATGGAGCACAGGCGGACGACGGGGGAGGGTTTCTTCCATATTGCAATTTGCTTACCTAGGTACTTATTATTGTCAACTATCCTACATGGAGACAATCAAGACTGAAGACGAGACTCAAAAAAGGAGACGTGAAGTCTTGTTAATACTGATTAATTGGTAATTTGATAATTTGATAATTTGATATAACAAATTTGTGATGCTAGACATTTTACTTTTAACTAGGTACCTAGGTAGGTTCCCTTGTCTAACATACCCTAGGCTAAATTCTCTCAAAACTACCCACTTTCCTCCGAGCTCCGAATAACAACCATCGATGGTAAAAGTACTGCAAGGCAAATTGAAGTATCAGACAACGCACCTACGATACCGTTACCACTTTATGGAGTAAATATTTAAGACAAAAGTATTTTGGTACGACATTTCTCTTTTTGTTATGAATCGATTACCATCGAATCTTACCAAGGGCAAGGGCTTGAAGTTCAACTGACGAGATTGTACCACCACCTGCTTTGCAGAGTCTACACATTCTTCTCTGCCGGTATATTGCTTCATCCCTTCAAGACTGATAGAACCTAGAACTCGGAATTTGTACTCATTAGGAGAAGAAATCAAAATGATCTTCAATCTATTCGATAATCAGTAGAAACCCACCAATGATCATGCTTCAGAAAGAGATACTCATCCAGTAGCTACATGTCGCGTAACACAAGTGCATACATCCGAGCATAACGGGCCACCAAACTCTCGTTTACGCCATGGCCTGCAAGCACGGAGATAACATTGACTTGAAGAAAGATATCATTGCGGAGCTTCGCCATCTAGAACATACTTTCATAATCACAATCACATTTTCAGCGTGGTGCATAGTCAGACGAACCGAAGTCATAGCCCGAGAGGCGGAGGGAAGGCAGGGGAATCTTACCTGTCTACTTTTATCTGCTTTTCCGAGTTGTCATTTTGCTAAAGGGGTTTGAGCTTGCTACGATGGAAAAGATGTCGTATCGAAGCATGCGTGTATGCCTTCTGACTGTCTGGCGAAAAGACGGTACGATCAGCTTTCTCAGCCGTTTCATCATTAATAGAAGGTAATCTGCCCTTGCAGAAAGTCAATCTCGCAGCACATCGAATCAACACACCATTCCAACTCTCGCGGCCCAAATTGAGGCCCGTATGCCTTAGCCCATGGTCAGCTTTCACATCACGTGACGAAATACTTTCCAAGCCCATGGTTCGTGACATATCTGTTCGTTCATCACAATGAATTGCCTATGTGCCAATGCCTCGTACCTGGGGCTGAGCTCCCACAGTGGAGAATGGAAGCGCCGTGTTGGCGTTTTGTTGTTGGTGGTGTGTGTTTCGGCAGAGAAAGGAGAAAGGATCTTCGCATTCTGGATGAAGTCCGGAAACAGTTTTGAATTGAGATATTGGTTCGGGCAACTTTCTCCTTGAATGACACTTCTACTTTCTGTCAAATTACGAGGTTTTTCACTAGATATTTCTGGATTCGCCCACTCGTTTATAGTTGGTATTCGTGTTGGCAATTCGGGAGTCACACCTTTTTCCCATGAACAATTGAGTTATTGTTTCCGAGGATAGGAGAAATACTCGTCTCTTTCATGTCACAGCCTTGGCGTTAAATCAAAAAAGGTATTGTACGACCGGCGTATATCGTTGGCGTTTTCATGCCGCCGATGACCACTGACTAAGGGCTTTGCTCGCTACTGGCACCCCTCGATTATACCTCAGGTTTGTGATCACTCTTTTACCCCTCTTTAAACTACTCAGAGTAGTCAATAGTTGGTTCATTCATCATAATCTCATGTCAACGATGGACTAATGGATATAGGGATTCGGCACATAGTTCTGTGGCTTGGGTTTTGGAGGGAAACCATCGGTTTACGCCCTTATCCACCTGCTAATTTTGATCATTACTCGAGTAGTACTCACCAACTTAACAAATCAGGAGAGTGTGTCCTGACAATTCATATATCAAACTTAACGGCTGATTTTGTATTTCTATGCATGATAAAGCTACAAACCTACAAGTACAAAGGGTATAACCTCGGCATCGTCTCAGCGTCAATTACCCCTGATACTACTTTGTGTGGAGTCCCCTCTTTCTGCCATTCCGGTATTTATTCTTAACGGCGGAAATCATCCAATCAATAGAATCTCAAGAAGCCATCGGTCGCAAAAGTCACGAAGAGAAAGCTTGGAGATCCTGTTTGTTTTCGTTCCCTTACCATCCATCCATTTCCTTATTTCTCCAATAGGAAATTGGCTTCGTCGTCGTCGTACATATATTCTCGATATATATATATCTTCGTATATTTGCATCAAAAATAATGTTTTCAAGCTGCTTCAAAAAACATAGTTTGATTACTCACCACGTTACTCATCAACCGTCCAATAGTTCTTTCACATGCATCAATCCTCCATACTTGGGCGTTAAAATTCATAAAGTCGCTTCAACCGCGGTAGTAGTCTTGCATAGCTAGTCGCGATTGCACCATAAAAGGATATCACTATTTCCCAAAACTCTTTCTCTTCTTATTTCTCACACCGAAAGTTCTTCAGCATCACCCAAAAAGTTCATCCCATCCCATCTCATCAGCACCGAAGCACCAGAATGCTACCCACTTCCTCAGACCTCTTCTGCGACCCCATCTCGCTCCTACAACATCCTTGCATCACACGTTCCAACCCGATTCTCCCGCAATCCGTCTCCCAAATTTAACTCATCACATTCTCGAGGCACAGAAAAATAAAATAGCATACCTAGCCAAGCATCGAGAAACATTCTCGTATTCAACTTGTTTAAGCTCTTGGAGTCACATTACCAAATCCGCACCCAGAAAATGACCTCCCCATTCCCAACAAATGCAGGAGCTTCCATGGATGCTTCCGGTATCACGGTAGAGATCAAGGCTCTCGCCATGAGCGGACAGGAAAACTTTGTTCCCGCCGCAGAAGAGGCGAGCCAAGCTTCGCATTCTTTCCTATTGCTGGCGCCGAGCACTTCGACGGGTTACCCCGTGGCTCCATTGTTCAAATTACCCGGTGTTATGACGCCGCGTCAGTGGGTTGATCAGACGCGTGGTGCACTTGAGCTTGAGGGTGAGAAGGGCGTGGGTGATGGTGAGGATGGTCGTGCCAAGAGTTTGGGCGCTGTTGATCAGGGGTTGGCAAAGGTGTCTAGGAGTGAGAGTATGAGTAGTGAGGCGAGTAATAGTACTACTTCTTCTAGTGTGGGGACACAGAAGGGGATGAGTTCGATGCGATTTTTGAAGTTGGGACCGGTTCATTTTGATGAGGGTGATTGGAGTGAGGAGGTGGTGGAGTAGAGGGTGGTTGTGATTATGATTATGAATATGGATAGGGTTATGGTTTAGGTTACTGTGGCATTTTGAGATCACACTTACACTTGATGTGATATTATTGCAGGCGTGCAGATGGGCTCAAAGGATTAGGATATGAAATATGAGATATGTTATCTTGGTCGGCGAGTTCGGGGATCGAACATACATGGATTGAGGATGGGTGATTGGGGAGTGGTGGAGGTTACGGGAAGTTGATCAGCAATGCGATGGGATAGAAAATTGCACGCACAAGACATATGTTGGAAAGTCTCTTCTCGTCCTGGAGAACTGGAAGAGTTATATCATGAGTTATGCGTCATGAGTCATGAGTCATGAGTCACGAATTAGGGGGCCTTCCTTTCATACTTTTTCAAAACGTTTTCTGGCTGTATTTCTCTGGTGGTTTACCTAGGTTAGGTGGTTTGTTTGTTTGTTTCATCATTCTTCAAGAATGATAAAAAATCGGGATCGCAAGGTAGTAACGATGACTTTTGAGGATTCTATTTAGCTAATCAGTTGATTACAATTTCAAGGCTTCTAGGCACGAATTGATAATCTTTCGACCAACAACACAATCTGATCTCGATTTCTTTAAGACACGGCTGGTTACACAGAAATAGACATATAATCTATCGATGGATACATCTTATCTCAACATATGAACCCATATTGTATTGTAATAGTAATCAGCTTTCTGGAGCGGCTACATCGTTTAGTTTAGTTTGATTTCATCAGATACATATTACACAGCTGGCTTATATCAGCTTCGCATCACATCATCCCTAGTATACTATAGTATTATCTCACTGCCACGCCGAGTAGATCATGACTATTGCTAGTCGTACAGTATGACAGTAGTACAGTATATCACATACATGGTATCGAAATATCGTGAGACGCCATTCAGGCTTTGTATGCTTCAACGGGTTTATTTTTGATTGATGACTGGATGGATGGAGGGATGGATATCTTTCTCACATAAGATATGATACTGTAGCAAGCAAGCATATAATATCAGATCATCGTGAAACGAGGACGAAGTATAATACAAAGGGTGATGGTACGGTGGTCAATTTGGAGGGAATCAGGTTACGGCCTCCAACTACATCCAATATCACAAGAGAGTCTGGCTTGACATGTTTTGTTTTGCTTTATTTTTATTTTATTTTGTTTTGTTTTATTCTATATATATATGTATTTTTTTTCATTATTTCATCAGTTTTGGTTGTTTGTGATCATGGTACTTTATATAATGGTTTATCAATTGATTGATGTGGATAGGAATGGGATTGGGGTCTGTTAGATGGCAAGATGACAAGATGGAGATAAGATTCCACGTATTTTGTAATACTCAAAATCTATAATCGGCATTAATATATGGTAGTACTATCTGAGATGATTTGGAAAGGAGAGAATTCTGATTACCATTTCTCCCTCATCCCATCGCATCGCATCGCATCGCATCGCATCGTTGTAAGTTGAGTTGTGGTTACATAAGTTACTGTAGGGTTGAATTTAGATAGGTACGATGGGAATGAATGATGGGACGGAGTGGGGGTACGGGAGGAGATGGAACGGAATGAAATGGCATATGGAGTACAGTACTGTAGATGAAGTGGACAACTACTGAACTAGATATTTTTCATTTTCCATAGATGGTCTAGAGAATGGAGCTAATGAGTATGACTGAGGAGTTGGGAAAAGTATTACTTTTCCTCTGTCCTTATTCTTATACCTATCTATCGGTATACCTATCTTTTCCCATACGATCTCCAAAGCTGGGGGATGAGAGGAAAGAAAAGGAGAGGAAACAAGTTGAATGCCTAGTGCGCACGCAAACAGCCTTTCGTATAAACGAACATCTGAGTACAGTACAATATTGCCAATTCACAAGTAAGTACATACATGTTCCCTTCCAATATCCAAACGAATGTACCCATCAATTCACAAATGCAAGTGCGTACAGTATTCCCTCCCAATATCCAAACGAACATACCCATCATCACTTAACTTCCTTTTCCTTTCCTTCACAAACGCAAACGCAAATGCAAACACAAACATAAATGCAAACGTAAATGCAAAACCCACATAAACAGTAGAATAAAGTAACACCATACCATATGATACACAACAGTAGTTTCTCTGTATACATATTACACTACACTACACATTATACATTACTCTACATATTGCACATTACATACCGGGAATACACACTACATTTACATTAGCGCGTGCGAAATACGGTATACCGATATGTATACTGCATCGGATATACATATGCATAGTTCATACGCATACATACACAAAAGTACACACCCGCGCTCCCGCGCGCAAAGTGGAGTGACGGACGCCATGTGCGGGAAGTGGGTTCGTGTATGTAGAACTGTGGATGGATGGATGGATGGATGGATGGATGGATGGATGGATGAATGGAATGTTGATGAGTTGATGAGTTGAGGTGTATGGTATGATGTGTGTGAGGAGTGTATGTACTCCGTAGCCTTACTTTTGTCGTTTGAAAGGGGGGTAGCGCAGGAGATATGGGATCCTGGGTTGAAGGAAGGAAAGAAGGAAGTCTGGGAGGGGAATGGATGTCCGTAGAATATGTAGAGGTGAGTAGTTGTGGGCAGTTGTGGGAATAGAGAGGGAGGAAGAGGATGTAAGGAGATGCAATGTGATCTTGTATTGCGTGAAAAATTGGAAGATGTGTACTAATTAATCCAAAAGTTGGGATACTCAATAATTCGTAGAGAACTTGATGAATTGCTTCATTGCTTCTCAACCCATCACCTTCTTTCGCCATTCTTCGATCTTGAATTAGATTGCTACATGGACTATCATAGACTAGTTTAAGATAGTCGGTCTAAAGTTCTTTAGATATGGCCTCTGCCCGGGTAGTAGGAGCACAAAGTGCCTACCTAAGGTACCCTTACCAATCTCATCAATATGAACGACACCTGATTTCTCCTCCCCTATGTGTATGCTAATCAGCTCCTACCGGTGAGTGTACGGATTCATGAAATGCTCCCAGACTTTCTAAAATTTATTTTATATCTTTGGTTGATTCTGTTCGTATTGTATAGTATCATTTTTGACCTGTCTCGGATCGAGTTTTGGAGTGTGCAAACAGATTATTGCGACGACATCGTTATATTCAAGCTTATGTCGTTTCATGAATCCATATACCCTCCCACTGATGCTCCCCATACTTATATGAAACCACCTCATTGTGATCATACTAGAGAAAACCTAAATCGTGCACATAAATTTCTCCTTGCCATCATCATGAGTGAAGGCCTAGATTGGCTCGCGATTCAGAAAGTTCAGGCTCGCAAGGCGAAATACGCTTCATTGGTCGAAGAACTCGAGGATTAGGGAAAACTTTCAATGCCTTTGCCTGAACCTAAAGTAAATGCGTATTAATATTATACTAGTTATTTCAAGAACTCCAAGCTCGAAAATTTCAGAGTTAAGTACCATGCAAATGCAACTCCACCATAATTTTACCATCCATATGCCATCACTGTCGCAAAAACATACACACCTTCCCAGTAAGTTGGTCTGGCACCCATAAATTAAATCAGAGTCTCGCCGTAGCCTGCCACCTCGCTTCATCTCTAAAATGCTCATCATTATCCCAGCTCATCTCATCCCTATAATGCATCGTCGGATCCTCTGCCCTCGATGGTGGAACATCTCTATACTGTCCATCAGCTGTCAATTCCTGATTTCTCAGCATAATTGTTCGATTTTTTTTCTTTCCCAATCCCATTCTTTGTCTCTTCGAGCCAGTTCCGTATCCCCTGCGTCCACCCATTACACTACCTATCCCAATAGTGCGATTCTTGCGATTGCAATAACATGTTCCACCAATGACTAAGACAACGAATGCTAGGACTGTTGGAAGAGCTATGTAGAGGGAGGCACCATGAGGAGCTTTGCTTGGAGATTGACGATATGGTTCAGGTGCGGGTGAAGTAGTCACCATGAATGTTGGTCCTTGTACGGAAGAGACTGCTGTTTTTTGCGTGGGTGTGATGTATAAAGTCACGTTGTTGAAACTCATGCCTTTTAACCAGACCTTATCTATCGTCCAGGCGATGAATCCGAGGTTGTTGCTTGTGGGGATAGACTGAAAAGCCTGTACACCTCCACCCGAAGCATTCACATAGTTTGCTTGTATAAAGACGGAGGTATTCGAGCCGGTGAGAAATTCGGTATCCCAAGTTACTAAATAATGTCAATGATTTCCTAATATACCATAAGATAGCCGCTAACCATAATATGTTTCATCAACATATACACTAGACCCATTATCCGGCTTACAAAACGGTGCGAACTTCCCCTTGAGATTATGGCAGAGTTCAAACGCTCCACCTCCCGTTGATGTAGGCACCGCTCCATCAGATGTAGATGTACCTGATGTAGCTTCAGATGTAGAAGAAGTACCGGTTGCCGTCAATGTTGCCGGTGCAGCATCAATCGTTGTCATTTTACCATCAACTGTCGTGAGGATGGGAGTGACTGTTGAGGCGAGTCCGCTGGCATCGACGGTGACCCATGGGATTAAATCCGAGTCGATTGTCGAGGCCAAAGTTTCGGATTTCGATGTTATTTGGTTCGCAGTCGTAGCATCAATCGCGGTAGAAGTAAGAGTTCCTGTCAAGGACTGTTCGCTGGAATTGATTGTATCAGATTCTGTATCAGAAGAAAAGGTTATTATGAGACGCCCTTATTGTCTTCAAGCTGAGAAACCGTATTTACCTGCTCTGCGATCTGGGGAAGCTTCTATAATTTCATACAGAAGTCCCATTACTTTCGCGAGAAGTAACACGCGCATTTTGTGTTCTTTTCCAGCCTATGGACCTTCAATTGCGGTTGTAATCTACTGAAGGCTCTTATATTTGATCAAATGAATCCTAATTGAAGGCTTTCAGAACAACTAGTACTGGTAGTAAACAAATGAAGGCTCCCTCATTAAAAGCCTACAATTGATATAAATTGTAATGACATATTGAAGGGAGCTCGAGAGGGAGGAATCCATATCGAAAGCACGGACGACATATGTTCCTGACTAACTGACAAGGGCTATTTTCGATGGCATTTCATTGGGTGCTTGTCAAATTTTAGTCTTTCGGGCTGTAGCCGAGAATCTGGGGAATATAAGGTTACTCGAGATATATATATTAATAATATAAAATGATCGCCGTCGCTGTTTCTTTTCCATTACTCTTACCTCCACCTATACTTCATCTCTTCTTACCTCACATCATTCGTATCTCAGTCCACAAGTAATCTGATGCAGAACTCAACCAAACTCCAAAAATTGAAAGGAATATAGTTGCCTCACTCAGGGTATCCAATAGTCTAGACTGTAGTTCAATAATTAGATATTCTTAATTTCTAAATTTATTTGAGATAAGATTTAGAGGTATATTTATCTTTCAATGGCTCAAATTTTAGAATTTTCGCTCGGAAATAGATTGTCAATAAACTCAACCTTGGCTTTCTTTCTCTGACAACCATACCTTATCTTCGTCTGGGACCAAAGTCCTCATGCATTCGATACATAAGTATCTCCTCCATAGTTTGAAGCTCTCAACTAAAGTAAGATACTCACTGGGAGCCAATATTTATCATGTAGCCATTGAACTGTATCATCAAAGAAGACTGTTCAGTGTGTGGTAGTACGAAGGTTAGTCTTTTCTAGCCTACTATATTTGCACTCAGTGAGACCGAAGTGTGAGTACTCCATTAAAATGAGAGCAAGAACAAACTCCATCTGATTAAACTGTAAGATCCTAGCTCATTGTGATTGGTAGATGTGAAAATACTGTACATAGTAAGGCCATATAATAGAATTTCAAGAAAAGGTGTCTTTCTTGAAATTGGCCGAATGTCAATTTCAGTCACCGACTGTCATCAAACCAATTCATGGATGGTAGTTATCTGCATGGATTGAAAGCATGCGCGGTCGAAGATCGCCTCCGGGCCCGACGTTGCCTCGTTGACATAGGGCGCATTGGCAGTCAAGCTCTTCCCAGTTCGAAAGTCTAGCACGCCGTTCAGAAGAGTCGTGCGTGTGTATGAATCGACGGGTGATTTCGGTTTTGGCGGGGATAGCATATTTTGCCTGGAGAGTGTATGCGACGCCGTCAAAGTATTCGCGTGGGAACTACTTTCGGATGGCACAGATTAAGTATTTGACTAAGAAATCTCACATTGAAAGCCTCCACATCAATCGACTCCATGTTCAAACGATGATTACGATAGGTCTAGACAAGATATTGGGGAGTATATTTTGGGTGCGTCATGGATGTAAGGATGTCTCGGCCTCAGTTTAAAGCGATGAAATCAATACATTCAGCATGAATTATATGTTGACTTAAGCTAGGTGTGGGTTATGGTGTCAATAATCAGAAAAAAGAAGCCAGATATTGGCATGAAAAGCTCACAAATCCGGGGCACACTATACACTTCAGATCATTGGTCACAGCAACAGCAGGACGGGAAGTATTTGCAGGAAGCGGTAAACTCTTTCCAAACAGCTTCTCTACGATTGCCTGAACCTTTACAATATATCTCCGAGAAGATGTTATTATCTTTTTGGATTTTACAAAGGCCTACCTTGTGGCAGGCCGGTCCCCAACACCAAAAATCGTCAAAATCAAAAAATCATTCCGTAATGCTATGAAAAGGAAAAAGATTTCATGAATTCTTTGGTTCAGGTGATTATTTAGAAATCCTCGCACAGGAAGACTATCTTATAAAAATCATGTCAAAGTTCTAAATCTATTCTTTGTGGTTTTTGTCTAGCCTGGCCCCTGAGATTAACCGAAGATTTGTTTAGTCACAACCACTCTGAGAGAAAACAAAGGACGTCTGACATCATAGCATCTAATCAATCATAAACGTATCTCATAGCCTTAAACATGGACATGAATTGACACTTGAAATTTTGATACAACCCATATGCCGACAAAATCTAACCCAACAACTACAATCCGATTACGCGGTTCTCCGAGACTTGAAGGCTATAGGATTCGGAAACGATTGTCCTGGTCTAGCAAACGTATACTTGAGTATCTTCTACGGCCAGCTCTATCGAGACACACACTTTGGGCTTGAGGAATACACGGAATTGTTGAGACTCCTCCTCACCATCTACTATTTCATCGATCCGGTGGCATGCCCCTCACCTTTGCCCGAAGAACGCCTCGATGTGCTGTACCTTCTTATGTCCACAGCCCCTAGCGCAAAGACTACTGCACTTCCCATTCGCAAATGCATCTATCATTGGCCCACGAAGCTCGTGCATTACTCGAAACTAATGAGTGGTAGTGATACGACAATTACTAGGTTCCATCACAAGGAGTTTGAGAGAGACTTGAATTTTTTGGATATGCCTGCTTATGATAACTAAAACGCCTTCACGGAGCAGATGAATGGTTGGTTCAAGTTGCTTGACCTTGAGAAGATGACTTACGAGCAGATTTCCCGTACTTGAGAGGGTCGAGCGTTTGAATGTTTGGTATGACTTTGGACATAGAATGGAGGTTAATTGGCAGATATCCAGGGGTTCTTTTACATCGGATTAAGGAGAAAACTGCGGAGGAGAAATGACGGAAGCCCATTCAAAGCAAACGCGAATCATAGGAGAGATAAACTCAGCGGGCACCTTGAGTCTTTTTTTTACAGGAGAAAAATACAAATGCATACCAAAAATAAGCTCAGCGTAGTTAGATAAATCACAAAAGGCTTCTTACAACCAACATGTTCCATTGCATACATGAAAACACGGCAGACTGATAAAAGGAAGCCTTTACAAAATTCTTGTTTTAATCCGGGTTTTCTATAGGGCCTTATAGGCTATCATAGCCTAGAGTTGTTGAAATAAGGTTTGAAACTACTCGAGTACCCCACCTCTGCTTTGACTCGGTGGGACTCACAACTTCTTGTGATAAGCAACTTATCAGTTACTGCAACCCAGCTCGCCAGATATGATTGCGTTGCGACTTGTAAGCTAAATCGTCTGCCACAAGACATACTTTATCATCACAACTGCATCCCTTGAATTCGGTTGAGATTTCGGTATCATCACTACCACAATAAACTTACCTGACTTCCAATCGCCTTAGTAACTTCACGATGGCCACTAGCGAAGCCTCAAACAAAAGCACGTATGCCGTTGACATGGTGAAGAAGTTCTCACAGCATGCTGACGGCAAAACATGTACGCATTCTGTCTATTTCCGCATACATCTACCCTTAGTCCTAGTCTAACACCCCATGCAGTTCTCATCACCGGCCCAAGTGAAGACATGACCGGCCCAAGTGAAGAAGGCATCGGAGCAGAAATTGCCCTCTCCATAGCCTCATCATCTAATCCTTCAATGATAATCCTCGCCGGTCGAACCAAAGCGAAAGGCATGTCCGTTAAGCTCCTCATTCGTGACATGAACCCCAAAATCAACGTCGTCTGGATCCCGTTGAATTTGCTTGACAATGAGTCCGTCCGGGCTGCGGCAGATGCTATCAAGAGACTGGGGAGTAAGATAAATTTTTTGATCAATAATGCGGAAGTGATGGCCGTGCGAGATTATACGACCTCGAACCAGGGCGTCGAAAGCCAATTCGCTGCGAATTACTTGGGTCACTTTTTGTTGACTAATTTGTTGATGGATCGAATTATCGCAGCGAGAGAAGAGGGAGCGATAATAGTTAATGTGGGGAGTTTGGGGTATGAATTAGGTGAGGTGAAGCTTGAGGATATCAACTTTGAGGTATGTCGAGATATATCATCTCTCATTTCAAGTACCTTTAGCTAAGGTATCTCTGCCATAGGAAGGGAAAACATACAATGCCTGGAGGGCATTTGGACAATCAAAGACCGCAATGCTTCTCTGGAATACTGCTCTTGCCAGAAGGCTGACCGATAAAGGGGTCGCGACACTCGTCGTACACCCAGGAAGTGAGTTATTTGCTATAGTGTGATGACTCAAACATATATTGACACTTTTCAAGCCACTCTAGAAACGAAACTTCTTGGAAATTCCAGCGTCGACCAAGAGCTTCTTGCAGAGGCGTACCATTTTGCCATCGAGAGAAATAATGGTAAGTAGCTAAATAACATTCGTCCTAGTCAAGGTATCCAATAGTCTGGACTACAATCCAATTAAAAAGATTCTAATATTCGAAATATTTTCAATTTAGAAAATAATTGAATTATTTCAAATTTATTCAAAAATTGAAATAACTCCAACATTTTTGATATATTCAATATTTGAATTAATACAATACTTGTGTATATTCAGAAATTAAAAATATCTTATTGTTGGATTGCAGTCTGGACTTATTGGTTACCCTGGGACTCCTAGTATCTGACAATAGAATACAGGGAAACCTCTCCCACCTCAGAATATGGTTTTAATACAGGAAGCAGCTGGCGCAGTAATTCTTGCTGCACTCGATCCCGCACTCAGAGGTATCTTATAGCGTTTAAATTTTCAACAACGTTCTTGCTAACATAAGAACCTAGCATCATCCCCAGCATTTATAGTTAACGGGAAAATTTACACAGAGACCAGGAGCTATGCAACTAGCGAACAGAATGCTGAAAAATTATGGAAATTGAGCGAAGAACTTGTCGGGGAAAGTTTCAAGATCTAGAACATGGCATCGGGAATCTGGTCTGTAGCAAGTATGTGAAGCTTTTAAATTTTGATGAGAAGAGTAATTCCAACTGCACTACAAGAATCATTCCGATGAAGTATTTATACTTCCAATACTAATTTCACACAACTGACACCTTATTTAAGCTCGTCCAATGCTTTGTTCGCAGATTCAAGTCCCCCGTCTACTACTTTGATACTTGGGCTGGGCACAAACTCACCCATCTGTAGTTTCTCCTTTAGCCAAGTCCAATAGAGCCGTTGGAACCATTCATTTCTTTCAGTATCATCCGCTGGCGCCGAAACAAACTTGATATCTACACCTTCCACAGTTGGGGGTTGAGGTATCAAGGGGATTGCTGATGCCAACTTAGCGACATTATCACCCTTCGTAGCCTTTAGAATGTCTAAAATAGACGGCAGTGCACCAACAGCATCATATGCCAAATCGATCGTGATTCCATCATCTTTTGCAGACTTCACTATATTTTTCACAACATCACTATCCTTGTAATCAAACACTTTCGAGGCTCCGAGTTTCTTGACGTATTCGTGATGCTGTGGGCTAGCAGTTGCATATACCACATATCCCATGTTCGCAGCTTGTTGTACTCCCGCCCCTCCAATGCTGCTACTTCCACCCCATACCAGAGCTCCCTTTTTTTTCCGCAGGTGTAATCTTCGTATCGCGCGCCAGCCCAGCAGAATACCAAGCAGCCATCGCAGTTTACACAGCCATTGGGAGAATAGCTCCTTCGTTAAAGCTCATTCCGTCAGGTAATGGGCATACGGTCGAAGCTGGCACAAGAACTTTCTTCTGAAATGCTCCATGATCCGGATCACCTTGCGTGAAGAAGGCCGGCGCAAAAGCTGTCACACGGGTTCCGATTTTTGGTGCAATAGCTGGCACAGATGAACCGGCAGCAATGACGATGCCAGAAATGTCGGAGCCGGGAATTGCGGGGTAGGAAGTAATCACGAAGCCATGATCGCGCATGTAATGATCGATTGGATTACATGCAATAGAGTGGACTTCTATGAGCAGTTCTTCGGGACCCGGTGTAGGGGTTCGCCTGTAAACTATTTCGAAAGGACCGCCTTTCTGAGGTATGATGGCAGCAAGGTGCTGTACTGCCGTTGTTGAGGTCATTGTAAGTAGTACGAGATGTTCGAACTATGTTGTACGATGCTTACGATTGAGGATATCGTATGGAAGCTTGAGATTGTATTAATGAAGCGAAGAGGGGGATAGACTCTCCCTTTATATACCTACCCTATCTCCATGGTTCGGATTGATTAAGTTCCCAGACCCCGAAATAAGCCATGTGTGGTCTCAGGAAGCGGAGTTTTCATTGTACTTCTTGACACCAGCTAACATTCGATGACCTATCGCCGTCGATAATTCCGTTAATGACATTCAAGATTGATGCTAACCTCCACACGTATTTATTTATTTTTTGAAAGCTAAGGCTAAGGCTAACCTCAGATCGTATTCCCCATGTGCTAGAGTGGGTCAGATCTACTACTCGAGTACTGCAGGGTAATATGATTGGGTGGCACTTGATCTCCAAAAGAATTATGGGTCCATGCTCATATCTCCTTAACACCGCCAGACGACACTAATAATGAATTAGAAGTCTACCACATATGAACAATCAATCTACTCGAGTATCAATACTGGAGTACGAAAGAAGGTTAGAGTGCAGGCTGAAGAACTGAAGGACGCGTCCTCGCTCAATTTATAATGGAGTTACTCTTACTGAGTCTTACTGAGTCATAAGGGAACGAATCTTGAGTTGGTGCCGTGAAAAGGATGAGAAAGAAAGCTTGATTTTCATTGGGACTTTTAAAACACTTTAATAGCATCATGGTATGTAACCAGTGGTGTGGTATGTATAATTTTGGTATTAGGCTTTACGATTTATATCATAATTGTAGATTTCAATCCTTTCATATAATAATTTCTCACGAAACCGGTGCCGTAAAAAGGATAAGGAAGAAAGTTTGATTTTCATTGGGACTTTAATAACATCACTTTAATAGCATCATGGTATGTAACCAGTAGTGTTGCATGCACCATCCTAATATCAGACTCCATGATACATATCGTTTTTGTAGACTTCAATCCTCTTGCACAATAGTACGTTCCACAACTTGACTTACATTCGATTATATCCCTCTCATACTGCAGCACGGCTCGCTCAATTCTCATAATTACAGCTCTACTTACCTATATCAGAGCTTTGTAAACCATCGAATGAAATTACTAGGAATATAAAGGCGTGCTATCACAGCTCAGACAGCTCAGAATCTTCTCATATCAAATCATATCCACTCCACAACACAACACTATTCCTTAAGAACCCCAAAATCCACCAACACCTCCCCCCGCGACCAACACAAACCGCCATACACAGACTCGAAACCCCTTCTCTCAATCCTCCACTAGGAAAGAAACAATAAAAGTACATCTATTTCAAAGTCAAAAATTGCAAAACACACAACCATAACCAAGTTGAGAAAAAGAAGGCACCGGCCTATCCCTTTCACACCCCCATCAAAACCATATTCCCAAACGATAAAAAAGTTCATGCGCCTAATATTAGGCGCACTAATCTCTGTTCGTTGTTGACCGTGTGTATCCCTGACTCCGAAGGGATCGATTCCTCCCCACAGAGATACCACTTGCCCTCGAGTTGTCGTGTCTAACCGTTAAGCTAGATTGTCGATTTGTCAATACCACCATTTGACGAGGAGAGATGCGATATTTTGAATTATGTAGATTATTAGGCGAATGAGGTGAATGGTACTATATATATATATATATATATGTGACAAACTTTATAGATAGGAGCGAGAGTAGGCCGGTGATGCACCGAGAAAAAAATATTATGAAATGATATCTTGTGCCTATTTGTTTGTTTATTGTATCCCTAATCTAATATATCTTCTCTCTAAATGATCTGCTCTTTAAATATGAAATGTATTGAATGCTGAAATATCCTCTCGAGGTTATCCATCTATACTCGAGTATACTAGACAGGGTATCCAATAGTCCAGACTGTTATCCAACAATAAGATAGATACTCTTGATTCCTGAATATATCTCAAATATCAAAACAATTTTTCAATCATCAAATATATTTAAAATAATGAATTACTTAAAATGATTCAATTGTTTTCAGAGATTCAAAATGTTTCGAACATTGGAATCTCTTTAATTGAACTACAGTCCGGACTATTGGCAACCCTGGTACAACCAGATATGGATATCCCATCAAGCATATAACTCCTTATAAACATCAGAAAATAAAGGTCTATCCAGAACAACAGGATTGGTACACTTGTAATGCAATTGGTTCAACTCCTCAGTCGCATAACCTTCTTTCTCATCCCAAACATTGACGTCTTCCCCAGCAACAACATTTCGCGCGACCAAACCTAACATATCTTCAATCAGATGACCAAATGCAAAAACCTCCATCTTTTCAATTGCTTCTGAATGTTCATAATTTTTCTGGTAAATTGTCGCTGCGCCAAAGTCCCCAAGAATTGCATGACCAGAGCTATCGATCAGGATATTATGCGCGTACAAATCTCCGTGGGTGATTCCTCTCTCATGGAGATGCATACTCGCTGATGCGATAGATATTAGGATGGTGCGGCATTTCTCGACTGAAAAGAAGGTTTCTGGATGAAACGCATCACGGGTACAGCTATCAAGAGTCGGGGGAAGGCCTAAATTGGTATAATGAGGAGGGATGAGCTCGAGTACCAATCCTCTCTTTTCTGGATGGCCATGAATTTTGCCGATCGGATCAATGAGATTCGGATGACGACCGGCGGCAATACATGCATTCATTTCGTCTGCAGGTACACCGTCACTGGTCACTTCGCATTTAAACAACTTGACAGCGACTTCCTTTTCGGAAGTTGGTGACTTCCACACACCCTTTGAAATTATACCCGAAGCACCTTCTCCCAGAAGCTGATCGATACTTAAATCCAACCAGGCAATATCGTGCAATATCGGATTGTCTTCCTTTGAGGGTGTACAGGGATTTCCGGAGAACGAAAGAAATGATAACTCGGGAAGACTGAGTAGCCAAGTGGGTAGTTGAACAATGAGATTAGCTGATAGTCTTAGTAAGCCCAACTTTCGGCAATGGGACATTTCATCAGGGAGAGTGGTCAGTCGATTTCCTGCTAGCATGCATTTTTGAAGACGATGACAGTGTCCAACACTCTTGGGTAAAGATTCAATCATATTGTTGGTAAGGATCAACCAACGTAACTTGCGTGGAAATGATCCTTCGGAGATTATAGTCATGCCATTATTCTTGAAGGCAATCATTTCTAAGGGACGACATTGAGCCAATTCTTTGGGAAAGATGGTGAAATTGCAGTCGGAGAAGAAAGCGACCTTGAGTTTGTGAAGTCGGTGAATGTCTTTGGGAAGTGTGGAGAGAGGATTATTGGAAAGATCAAGGATCTCGAGGGTGTCGTATAAGTCCAAGATCGCCCGGGGAAACTCAACGAGGTCGCATGATAACTTCAGCCGTCTTGTTCCTTTGTATTTCCCTGCTTGGAGATCCTCAAAAGATTGCATGGTGGATTTGATGGTGTTTGTAGATTGAGTGGGAGATTAGCTAGCAATTTGCCTATAGTGTGTCGGGGGATGGTGCTTTGAGATCTTCCAAAGTATATTTCAAGATCAGTATATTTCAAGATCACGGAGAACACATACTGTTGGTTAATATTATCAAGGTCTCACAGGGACGAGAAGAGGGATGGAGTGAATCTGATGAAATGCTGACACCAATGTGTTTCGGATCAGGTTGTTCCAGCACCGAGCCGAGTCATATGAAAGGACATATTTGCTATTAAGTCCATCAATTTTCATGACAAGACCTTGAGGTATCTATAAGTGTGAATTTGATGTAACACTAGACTTTATATTGACAAATTTTGACAAAAGTCAAGTCAAGAGATTGGAAAAGCTCTCCTACCTTATTAATCGAGGGGTCACTCGCTTCAACCTTCCACACTCTGTGAAGCTTACCTCGTTAAGAACTGCTTAAATTTGCAAACCGCAACTTTCACAAATTCAAGCACATATACAAGACCAACGCGACAACTCGCGACAACTCCTCAGCCTTTTCAACATTTTTGCTGTTATCATCCGAAACTTCACCACATTGCCTTTCTTCTCGTCATGGCGTCACAAACAATGAATTCGTCAATGCAACCAACAGACGTTTACGGAGGAGGTAAATACTTTTTGCCAGACAACTCAAAAGTCAATGAATATTTTATTAACAATACCATTTAGATGAAGTATCAGCCATTGTAATTGACCCTGGGTACTCAAGTATACGCGCTGGCTTTGCAGGAGAAGATACCCCCAAATCATTCATCAACTCACATTACGGCGTTCGCGATGGTCAATCATATTACGGAGACAATGCGATTCACAACCCCAGCGCGAACCTCGAAATCCGCAACCCAATGAACAAGGATGGTATTGTTGAAGACTGGGACACTGCAGAACAATTGTGGAAATATGCTATTACTTCACGACTTACGAGTTTCAAGCAGGCGGACCCTAGAACCAATGGACTAAACGATAAGCCGGAGGATATGGATCTTGATATGGATGTGGAAGAGAAACCATTAGAGGAACATCCATTGTTGATGACGGAAACCGCATGGAATACAACCAAGTCGCGAGAGAAGGCCATTGAAGTAGCTATGGAATCCTGGGGCGCTCCCGCCTTCTGGCTCGCGCGAAACAGCGTCCTCGCAGCATTTGGAGGCGGCAAGGCCACAGCATTAGTAGTCGATGTCGGTGCATCAAACGCATCAGTTATCGCCGTACACGATGGAATTATACTCAAGAAATCGATACAAAGATCTCCTCTCGCTGGCAATTGGCTATCCTCACAAATCCGCACCCTATTCAACACCGTAGAGCCCAAAGTTGAGCTCACTCCACATTTCATGATATCATCCAAAATCCCCGTCGACGCAGGTGCCCCAGCTCAAGCTACATACCACAAATTCAAGATCCCTCCTACGCCCGGCTTCCGCGCCCTCGAAGAAGAACGTGTTTTGACAGAATTTAAAGAATCGGTTGTACAGGTCTGGGGTGGACCAAATCGATTGAATCACACTCACACCACCGGACCCGTATCTACGAATGTGGAACATGCGAAGCAGCAACCAGGTCGCGTATTCGAGATGCCGGATGGTGCGAACCAGATGTGGGGTATAGAGCGTTTCAATGTTACAGAAGGTATGTGGGATGAAAAGGCCGCGTTACCTACAGACCACGAGTCTGCTCCTACAAAGGGCCAGACTATTCCTGAAATGATCAAGGCTTCAATTGCGGCGGTTGATATGGATCTACGGGCGCATTTGTTGCAGAATATTATTGTCACAGGTGGTAGCACGCTGCTTAATGGGTTTACGGATCGTTTGAATAGCGAGTTGGCACTTCTATATCCAGGTGCGAGAATCAAGTTGCAGGCTGCAGGACTTACACAAGAGAGAAGATTTGGTTCCTGGATTGGAGGGAGTATCTTGGGGAGTTTAGGAACGTTCCACCAAATGTGGATCTCGACGAAGGAATATGAGGAATTTGGTGCGAGCATCGTGGAGAAGAGATGTAAATGAAGAAGCCTTCTAGTCTTATGATTATCGCAGAAAAGAAAAAAAGTTATGCTTTAGATCTATGGCGGTGGGAAATGAAAGTGGAAAATTGGAATTGGCCTGGCGTTGGGGGAGTTTAAAGTGCGCGCTGAAATTAAGATATGATACCTTCGATTCTAGAATATGTGCACAATGAAATCCATGGCAAAGATAAATATTCTTTTCTGCTGTCGTTTTTGGTCACCAACGATGCTTCACCATCCTCTCCATCTAACCCAAACATCGATAATCTCATCTTCTTTTCCCTCTCCACGACTTCCATCCACAATTAAATACCAACCGTATCCTGCACCAGCGAGACATGCATGATTAGGCCAGACACGGACTTTCTGACCGATAGAGAGTTCCGAGTCATTTTTGCCCGGGTTAGTAAGGATGCCGTGTTCTTGGGAGATGCGAGAGATTTGCCACTATGTTTGATTTAGTATTTGCCCATTTAGTCTGAAGGGTTGGCAAGATTGTAGAAATGAGAGTAGGAGATAGGAATGGGGAGATGCATACGCCAGAGTAACCTTCAGGACCGGTATTGGGCAAAGCAAAAGAAGTGCGGTTCCATGGGGAGAGAATACCCCAGCCGGGATACGCCTTGCAAGGTTCGCGACCAAGGGCGAGGGAACCGGCTGTTAGGAGGGCTTCGGGAGATCCGGATTCGCTTCGGGAGGGGTAGAGGGAGGCGATTTCGGCGAGGATTGTGATGGCTACGGATGACCACTTTGCGTCTGTTAGCTCACACGGTAAGAGAAATTGAAAAGAATGAAGATGCTTACACCAAGTTTATCTTCTGGTAATGCATGGGTAGCTAGTTGTTGCATGTCAAGCATGGTATACACTCCGGCGTGAATCTCGATCTCACAGCCTGCGTCGCGAATGGCTTCAATGGTGGCTTTAAGAGCTGCAATCTCACTCGAGCCTTCGGATGAAGTTGGCGGGAGGAGAAGGCTACGAATGGCGCTAGAAGTTGGAGTAGCACCTACAGAAAGCACGAGAGGCATCTTAGTAGCAGCGGCCGAGCGAACTTCTTCAGACGTAACGAGAAGGGCCTCAAATTCTTGGCGAAGATAGTCGAGGGCTGCGGTCTGAGAGTTGGAGGAATATGAGTGTCCAGCATGTGAGTATAGTCCGTGGAGGATGCATACACCGCGATTGGCAAGAGATACTACGGAGGAGACGAGCTGGGAACAGATTTCTGTGCCTGGAATTACACCAGCTCGGCGGTCGCCCATATCTATTTTGATGAAGATGAGAGGCGGGATGCTGGTTTTGGTGTAGATAGCGGCGACAGAGCGCAGTTGAGATGGATGATCGATCATGAGGGATAGACCACTGGGACCAAGATCTGTGGAGACTTTTGATAGTCTGTCGACTACGCCTGCGGTGAGGGGAAACCCGTATAGCACCTAAGATGTGTAAAGATAATGTCTATATATAAGTTTAAAACAGCAAGCTCACATTCATAGGTCTACCCTTGTTCTTATACTCAAGAAGAATAGGAACAATATTCTCTGCCTCTACCACAGTTGAAACGACGATGTTGGCCGATCCAGGCCCATCTCCGACTTGTAGCCTTGTCAATTCCGTTGTCTTTCATATTGGTCAGTTTACATATCAAATATGCATCTTGAATGCCATAATCCATACATGGCTTTGCACTGCGAAACGATAAGAGGGCAACAACTCCACCATCAAACCTAGAGCAGTACTACTGCTGTAGTGTAAGAAGAAAATGATAGAAACCAGAGAAGAATTCCAAAAGAAATATATACCTTATGGGTTTTGATATGGGCTCTCCACCCGCAGTCTAAAGAGTCCACAGCCTCAAGCATACTCGTACAGTTCTTCTTCAATTTCGATATATCAAGTACAACTGCAGGACAAGGCACATCATGTAGTGATTTACCTACATATTCCTTCACAAGTTCTTCCCTCGAAGCATAGGGAAATAGCGATGTAGAATTCATGATTGGATAGAACAGATGTAAAGCAGAGAAAAGATAGAGTATGGTAAGTCCTATGTATTTTGTCAAGATTTCGAGATATCGGGGAATCGTCGTCCTTAGTCACTAGAGACGAAGTGGGTTACTTCATGTTATTCAGATGCATGCCATCTCCAGATCAGATGTCAATGGTGGGGTAGGTCATGAACGTTAAGAGTTTGTGTGATAGGATACGAGATCCTGCATCATGCATGACAATAAAGACGTTGGAACGGTTAAATCCTTCTACTCACTGGAAATTATTGAGATTGAGATTCGTTAAGATTTTGCTGGCACTGCACTTTGAAGTGTGGTGAGTGCACCACCAAGTTGTTGTTTTCCTTGAGGTAGTACCCCGCAAAGTGAGTACGGTATCCGAGCTGTGAATTCCCACTTTATTACAGATAATATTACGCGCCACATGTGCAGTTCTGTGATCATCAAATCGAAATTCCATTCCATTCAATCTACAATTAATTTAGCCAGCTTCGTCAACCACGACCTTCCAAATAATCCCCAAACCTCCTGCAAGGTCAAAGTATACTCTTTCTGACAATACTTTCCCTTGTGCAAATAATATTTGAATGACCACGACTATTCTGGCGCATCATCACTCTTGGGAGTGATCAACCAAGTCGCAAAGATGGCCGAATCCGAAACCAGACCCACGGAATTTACGCAATTCACAGAGATAGACTGGAAGCGTCAGGATGAAGAAGATGAAAGAGCTATGAAAACTTTGTTGAATGACAGTTTGGAAAAGGGCGACGATCATGACGGCCTTTTTGGCGATCGACCTTTGGACGTGGGCGAGAAGGCAGACGATGCACAAGATTTCGAGGATATCAGCGATGACGATCTACCAGAGGAAGAAGAAGCTTCTCTACCAAGTGCTGGCGATTTACCTGGTTTGACCGACGATGCTGGCACGAGCCACGATACCGATGATTTGTTTGGAGAAGGCAGAGATTCTTCGCCATTGGGCAACCTCGATGATCATGTTGGAATACAAGATGGAGAATCACAGGTTGCCGGAAGTACAGCTGAAGAACCAACAGGTCTGCCAGCTGAGGAGGAAGATTTATTGGAGCTCAATTTTCCTGGCTACAATCAAGCTAGATTGAACAACCAAGATCTTTCGATACCCGCTCCTGCAGAATCTGAAGGAGATCTAGCCAAGCAGTTGTTTCCAGGCCTTGAACCAGGCGTTATATTGAACTTTCACGAATTATTACCTCCAAAGCTCGCGCATTTCGTCCCAAAAGTACCAGTCAAACAACCTAAACCTTTAAATCCTACAAAAGTCAGCTTGGACCTTGCTCCCGACCAAGAGAAGGCTTTCCGCAGCAATCTAGGAACAGCGACAGGCGATCCGCGTAAACGTATGGCTGAGGCGGAAGCTAAAGGACTTGTTGCAATCATCGAAGAATCTACTGATGAGGCAGCGAATGAGGAAACCTTCGATTTTGAGGAACCAGCCGAGGATGAAAAGCTTGGAGGGGTGAGCTGGGCGGATCTCCAAATGATTTGTGATGACTGGGACTCTAAGATAAATTCGGCACCTGACGTCGTTCAACTGGAGCCTATAGACGACCAACCAATGGATGATTGGGAGCGAGAGATCCTCGGACATTCGTCAAAACGGAAAAAGGTCGTGCAACCAGAGCCAGACTATTTCAATATGCCTCAATTTGCTGTCCCATCTTTCGACAATCTGCAACAAGCCGTTGATATTTCTGCCAAGCGCCCTTTCTTGGATCTTAACGATCCTCATCTACTTCTAGAAGAGCTGAAGTTTACCTCAGCGGCCAAACGTCAACGCCTTGGTGGAAACTTCCGCGGAGGAAACAATATCATTTCTAAGAAATTGAGCAAGCGCTTCAACATTTCAAACGATGAAGCTTACGATGCTCTCAAGGAGAATCACCAAAGCAAGGTTAGAGCAGCTATTGGAAATCTGACCGTCGAGCATAGTCTTCCTGCACTACGCCTTCAATGGCCATATTATAAGGTCAAATTATACACTAAGGATGCTAGAGCTCTACACCGACCAACCCTCAGATTCAATAAATGGCTCAATCAAGCCGTTACCTTTGACAAGCTAGGTGTACGAAAGAAGAAAGAGGCTAGAACGATGTCCATTGAAGAAGTATTCAAAGAATGCAAGGACTTAACACTAGGTGACTACTACTCTACAGCAACCTTAATTGAATATTCAGAGGAACAGCCTATATTACTTTCAAACTTCGGCATGGGCAACAGAATCATCAATTATTACCGACGAAAGGATGCGGAAGATCAGGAAAGACCATCTCCGGAGGACAAAATCGGCGACACTACCATTCTCTTACCAGAGGACAAATCCCCGTTCGCAAACTTCGGTTTCGTGGATCCAGGCGAGACTGTTCGAGCTCTCCATAATGAAATGTTTCGCACTCCGATATTCAAACACCAACCAAAAAATACCGATTTCCTCTGTGTTCGCAGTACTACGGGAGTCCATGGTACTACATGGCACCTTCGCAATATAGACAATGTCTTCGTTGCAGGGCAACAATTTCCATCCATCAAAGTACCAACACCCCACTCGAGGACTGTTACAAATGCCACAAAAAATCGAGTCAAGATGATTGCCTTCAGAAAAATCAGACGCAGTGCCCATAATTCTCTGAGAATATCCGAGCTCACTGCTCACATCCCTGATACGAACGACATGCAGAACAGAGCGAAATTGAAGGAAATTCTCACCTACGATAAAAATGAGAAAGTGTGGCGTCCAGAGGAAGGCACCATTATACCCGACGAGGCAACTCTGCGATCCCTAGTCAAGCCCGAAGATGTATGCATGATTGATGCGATGCAAGTTGGACTTAGAAACCTCACAGATGCTGGTTATGCTTCTCTGACCGAAAAAGAGGAAGGTGATGATACAACATTTGCCGACCGACCGCTTGAGCACAAACTTACTCCTTGGAATACAAGCAAAGCTTTCTTGGACGCAACTTCAGGTAAAGCAATGCTTGATCTTCATGGCGATGGCGATCCATCCGGATGTGGACTTGCAGTGAGTATGATACAAACCTCTATGAAAGGAGGCTACATTGGGGCTGTCCAAGGTCCAAATGCTACATCCGCAGCTGCTATTGCTGCAGAGAGGAAGGCAAATGGTGGTCATACCTATAATGTCAAAAGACAGGATGAGCTCTACAACAACGCCATTCGCGAAATTTGGGATAAGCAAAAGTCGACTTTGTCGGACACGAACGAACATCTTTCTAACGAACTGGAAGAGGTAGACGAGGACGAACGATTCGGCGTAGCACCCACTCCGCATTCCATGGCAACACCTGCACCTTATGATGATTCTTACAGTCAAGTCAGCAGAGCCAGTAATATGGATAACCCATCCGGCAAATTCATGCGTATCACTCGCAGGATCAAAGTGAACAATTATGGACAAACAGAAGAACAAGTGGAAACCGTCAAAGATATTCGCGTTTGGAGAGAATATATGAAGCGTAGAAAGATGATGGAAGCTGCTAATTCAGAGTAATTCTCACAAGCTTGATTTTGGTTTCTCACGTTTCCTTTTGGAGACGATAGCTAACAGTGTGTGTTTCAGTGTATATAACATCAATCCTTCGGGTGATTTAGAACTTGACAGAGCTACTCAACAACAGTATGTACTTCCCTTACCCTCCTTCCACTCTCTATGAGTACCAGTACGCCACAACTAACACCTTGCCCACAGAGTCCAAATCGAACTCAACCGTCTCGAACGCAACAAAGATCGTCGCCACGCCCGTGAAAAGCAAAAGTCCAAACAATCCATGGCCAGCCAACAACTTCTTAACCCTGACTCCCCAGGTCCATCCGGAACGCCCATTTCCACCATTGAAAAGCCGACCGGTACTACGAGGAAATGTGCAAATTGTGGTCAAACGGGTCACATCAAGACGAACAAAAAGTACTGTCCCCAATGCGAATTAATCAGTCCTTTTCTCTTTTCAACTTAGGTTCTACCACAGCTACAGTTACAAAGGGCTCACGCTGAAGCCTCTGTGTGTTCTTGCTCAAGGAGCCGACTTAACAACCCATTTTCAGCCCCATTTTCTTATGCAAGTGGAAGTATTGAAAGGATTCACATAGATCTCATTCTTCTTCGCCAACTTCTTGATTTTGAACCCTTTCGCATGATACACAAAAGAAAACATCGTTTGCTGACATACATCTTCCTCTAACACTCAGACTCTGTCCCCTTTTGAACGGCACCATGAAACCCGAAGACGGCGCACCCAATCATGGCGGATTCGGTGCTATCCAAGCCCCACCGGCATTTGGTTAGCTTAATGGACTACTGGCATTCGCAGCCGCGTCTTTGCCTTCTACCACCACATCACATCACATCACCTTATTTAACCCAAAGTATACGACACACATCTACGAGGAAAAGTACACAAGCCTTTCTGGTTTGGAGGACTTACCTTTCTTCTTTCTTGATTCCTCTTAAACAAAAACTCTATTCACAGGCGGGGTGGAGCCGAATTATGCATGGCGTCAGAGAGAGCCCAAGGAAATTTTTTGATAGACACAGTGACAGGAACAATTACGGATCAGATGACAAAGAACATTCTACGTCATCATCGCCATAGATAATACTTTGAACGGAAAGACATTACGGAGGACTTAGCGGGGATTCAGACTAAGCCTTGCCGCAAAGTCGGGGGCAATCCTACAATCTTACGGCGAAAGGATATTGCGAGGCATACAGCGTCTTGGTGTTAGTATTGGTATTGGTATTGGTATTGGTATTGGTATTGTTGCTTTGAAGACGGCCCGCATCGTTATCGTTACTGTTACTGTTACCGCTGCCGCTGCCGCTGCCGCTTGTCTAGCACACCTCATGCGATCGGGAAAAATAGTAGTGCGAAAGCTTGGTCGGATGGAAACATTGGGGATCAGGGCTACTATGGCAGTCAGACGGG